CTGCAATTACTCCATAAATAACAAGCCGCCACACGGATGTTAGCCATAGCCATTAGCGTCCAAATACCGCAGCTGTGCTCCAGATACTGTAACGCTAACCTCTTCCTCTTCATCACTAATGTCTGATTACCATACATCTGAATTTTTTATGTTAGGCCATCAGCAGTGTTATTTTAGTATCATTAATATACTATTAAAGTAACTAGTTTTTTTTTTTCGTTTCGTTTTTTTCGTTTTTATTTTTATCTTATCCAATTTAGATAAACTTTTAGTAATTTTGTTGTTTTAGTAATTTTATTGTTTTTTGTTAACCCATTGCACTTGTTAACAATAGCTAACTACAATAGTTAATGAAAAATACTAATTTTAGTTCAAGTTTCATTGCAACATTTATTAATACATTATTAAAGTAAAAAGTAAAAAATATTTTTAATGGAACTGAGCTGACATGAACTAACAATAAATAGTTGTATTTTTATTAATTAATGTTACCAAAGATGAATGAATTCTGTAAAAAATGTATTGCTCATTAATTGTTAGTTAATGTACTTAATGTTAACTAATAAGACCTTATTGCAATGTGTTACCAATATTAATAGTGCTATATTAGTGCTTCAGCTTAAACTAAATAAAAGTGAGATATGTTGCCTTGGAGCTAAATTAAATATAAAAAAGTTTTGTTTTAGATATTTTAGTATTTCAATTTTTAAAAAAATTGAAATTAGAAATGTTGCAATGGCAACTAACTAAAATTAGTTTAATTTTTGTTGTAGTTATTTTAGTACTTAAACTAAACGAAAATCCGAAATGTTGCCTTAGCAAATAACTAAAATAAAAACAAGTTTAAGTTTTGTTTTAGTAATTTTAGAACTTCAACTTAAAATAAACAAAAATGATAAATGTTTCTAATTTTAAACTAACTGATATAAAACGTTTAAAGAGTTATTTTAGTTCTTAAACTTAACAAAAATTAGAAGTGCTTTTATTTCAGTTAGCTTAAAGTTAAAAAGTTTAAGTTTTGTTGTGTTTGTTTTAGTTTAAACTTAACGGAAATCTGAAATGGTACCTTGGCAACTAACTGAAATAAAATGTGTAATTTTTGTTGTGGTTATTTTAGTACTTAAACTAAGCAAAAATGAGAAATGTAGCCTAGGCAAATAACTAAAATAAAAATAAGTTTCAAGTTGTTTTAGGTATTTTAGTACTTCAACTTAAAATAAACAAAATGAGAAATGTTTTGAAATGAAACATTTAAGTTTTGTTTTAGTTATTTTAATTCTTAAACTTAACTAAATAAAATATGTTTATATTTTACATTATATTTAATTCATTTCAGTTAACGTTTATTGTATTTCAAGTAATGAAAATGTTACTTAATAGTTTTAGTTTTAATAACCGTCTTTTTTCTGCCATATGTACATTAACTGACAGTCACCACTGATAAGCTACTACTAAATATATTGTAGAAACTTAATTTTCTGTAAAGCTGCTTTGCAACGATTTGTATCGAGAAAAGCGCTATACAAATAAACTTGAATTTAATTTAATTTAATTAATAACCCAAAAACCCTGGCCGACAGCTCTTAAATCGGATCTCTGGATTTATAATAGAAAGTAGAACAAGAACTAGCGCTCGCTGCTATACTTTAGGGCCTTTCGCACCACGGGAACCTTTTCATAGTACCAGAACTAATTGTGGAACTACCAACGATTTGTATCGTGAAAAGCGCTATACAAATAAACTTGAATTTAATTTAATTGAATTAATAACCCAAAAACCCTGGCCGACAGCTCTTAAATCGGATCTCTGGATTTATAATAGAAAGTAGAAAAAGAACTAGCGCTCGCTGCTATACTTTAGGGCCTTTCGCACCACGGGAACCTTTTCATAGTACCAGAACTAATTGTGGAACTACCTACTTTTTTGGCGTTTTCGCACCTCCGGAACTGGGTGCGATTTTAGTACCGGACTGCCTTTTTCGAGAACCAAATTAGCTCCTACTCCGGAGCAGGGTCTAACCAGCACAACTGGTACTATCCGTGACGTAAGTAGACACTGATTGGCCAAACGCGTATGAAAACGCCCTCACCCGCCATGATTTAAAACACTGTGTAAACATACTGTAAACGTTGTCAACTTATTTCGCAAGTATGGAGAACAGCGATAGATGGACGGATGCTGAAGTGCAGGCACTTGTAGCAAATGTAGCACTGCCAGTTATCGTTGGATATTCTTAGTCCTCCTTTCCGTTCTTTCAATCGCTTTACATATACGTCGACTTTGCATGTCCATCATTGTGAAACCCGTGAGACACAACAAACACACAGCTCAGATCACAGCGTCCTCCATCCTCCTGTTGTTAACGTTGTTCTTCTTTGTTTCTGTTGTTGAACGCCGCGCACAAATGACGACACTGTCGACCGGCTTACGTCACTTCTTAGTAGACAGTCTCGGTGCGAATGCTAACCTTTAAATAGTACTGGGAAATAGTTCGCGCAAAATCGTCCCAGTACTTTAGTACTGTACATTTAGTTCTGGAACTAAAGCGGTGCGAAAGGCCCTTTTGAGAAGCTATTCATTTTCATCTTGAACCCCATGATGTCTCATTGGTGAATCTGACGTTGACAGGCCACGGATCTCCACGCCACGAGAAAGAAACGACCATAAAGGACCTCTGTTTCTCAGCCTCGCTCATGTTTCCTGCCGTCAACGTAGCTTGTAAAAAAGTGACAGATGTGACTGCTGTAGACAGAGGTGCATTGTGGGGTGGCAGGCCTCGGGGAGCCCCGTTTTGAGCGTGTGCGTCTCAGCACGTGCAGCTCACTTAGCATGGGTCAGCGAGCGAACCACCTGTAGGGGGCCATCAGCAGGTCTAGCCAATGAAGTCATTTCCTGCGCTTTAGGAAAACATGGCCCATCATGCTCAAACATTTACAGGCCTTGCTGTTGAAAGCATGCCATCATCGAAAAAAACAAAAAGCACTCACGTTTGATCTCCATCCAGCAGCATTTTTCATGTGAAATCAGACAAAAACAGGCAAATTTTTCAAAAAAAAACCTTTTCATCCTTTACCCTCTGTTTTAGTTTATTCTTTTTTAAGTTTCTTTAAAAGGATTAGATCATGGCAGGCGAAGATAAAAAGAATAAATGAGGAACTGTTAAATTTTTTTTTTTTTTGGGGTAAGTAGTAGCTTTAATTTTATTTTGGTGGGAGCGTTGACAGGCCACGGATCTCCACGCCACGAGAAAGAAACGACCATAAAGGACCTCTGTTTCTCAGCCTCGCTCATGTTTCCTGCCGTCAACGTAGCTTGTAAAAAAGTGACAGATGTGACTGCTGTAGACAGAGGTGCATTGTGGGGTGGCAGGCCTCGGGGAGCCCCGTTTTGAGCGTGTGCGTCTCAGCACGTGCAGCTCACTTAGCATGGGTCAGCGAGCGAACCACCTGTAGGGGGCCATCAGCAGGTCTAGCCAATGAAGTCATTTCCTGCGCTTTAGGAAAACATGGCCCATCATGCTCAAACATTTACAGGCCTTGCTGTTGAAAGCATGCCATCGTCGAAAAAAACAAAAAGCACTCACGTTTGATCTCCATCCAGCAGCATTTTTCATGTGAAATCAGACAAAAACAGGCAAATTTTTCAAAAAAAACCCTTTTCATCCTTTACCCTCTGTTTTATTCTTTTTTAAGTTTCTTTAAAAGGATTAGATCATGGCAGGCGAAGATAAAAGGAATAAATGAGGAACTGTTAAATTTTTTTTTTGTCAGGGATAAGTAGTAGCTTGAATTATATTTGGGCTGAAGCGTAACGGCACGATGCCTTTGTTTAGACAGAATGAAAGAGTTTGGAGACAGCAACGTTTTGATGCAACCGATGGGGAACATCAATCTTTTTAAAAACTCGGTGCGAGAGTCCCATCAGAGATGATTCGTTGTGCTTATGTCATGCAATTTTATATCGCCATAGTTTCATATACAAACCCTATTGAACTCTATTGAAAGTTTTGCTAAATGATTCGTTCTGCGGCAAGAGAATTTCCATTTCGTGAAAATTGCTGGAAAATAAATCTACGTGTCCAAAAAAACGTCTGGTAGAAAATCAGGATGAAAATAGGCTTTTGTTGGCCAAGTTACCAGTAATTTGAATTGGCGGTCGCTGATATTGGAAAGACAATAAATATGTAAAACAATTAAGGGTCTTTCTCAATATATACTGTAAGTATGATTAAGTTAAATAAATAGTGGGAGGCAGATACAGTAAACTGAAATATACACAAGTGTAACATACATACAGTTATATATATGTACAGTTGAAGAATGTTCAAAATATGTTCTCTGAAAAAAGATCTTAATAAATAGGCTGTGTGATATAGCTAAGAAAGGTTTTTGGAGCTTTTCTGTATTTTACATATTTCTACATCTATGCAGGAATCTTCATTTCCATTAAACAATGTAACAATTTAATACAAGAACTATAAACTGGTAAAAATCGAGTGTACAAATGTTTCACACACTGCTTTGCAAATGCCACATGGAAACTTTCGTGAACATTTTTTTATCGGTTTTGAATCGATTTCATTACATTTATATATTTACACAGATGTAAATATATGTATACAGACACTTTCACTTTTTTTTTTGAATGATTATTTTTCGAAATTGCAAATAAAGATTATTAGATCCTTTTTCTGTTTTTTATACTTTAAATTTTCATGTTTAATACAGTGTATTACTTGCTATTTCTTTGTAATTCTGTGATATTTACTTGCAATTTCTGAGTGTTTAAAACTAAATCCCACAGCAGTCTTTTTAGTGCAGTTCATCACAGTGGCAACAATATTCATAGTGTACAATGCCACGTTTTTTAGAAAGCAGTTTGAACTGATTCCTGGAAATTAATCAAAGATTTTTTTTCTAGTATAAGATTTTATCTAATAATTTATCTATTTTTTGGGTTATTCCCAAATAACAGGGTTACTTTTAGCTGCATGCATGGTTCATTGTTATACTGAGCACAATTGAGCACTCTAGACGAATTCTAATCACCTCTCTTGTCTCTGTACAGTCCAGTCCTGCAGCGTCAGATGCATGAATGGAGGGGTCTGTAATGAAGATGCCTGCTCGTGTCAGAAGGGCTACACAGGAAGTCACTGTGGACAGCGTAAGTGAATCTTTCTTTTCAGAACGTCCAGACATCAGCACATACCTGTCCAGACACAGACAACAATAGATGATTTCACAAGAGTTTGGCTTACAGACACAAATGATTTCAGATTGCATTCAAACCCAACTATATATTTATCTAAATGTTTTATTTATGTCTTATGTCATTTATTTTTTTTTGTATTTTATTAAATTTTTTATTTACTAATCTTAAGACCTTTTAATGAAAATCAAGAACTTTCCAAACATTCCAAAGAACCATATAGCAACTCAAGAACTCTATATGTATTTTTTTCTAATTGTAAGATAAAATGTAATAAAACAGATTCTTTCATTTCACCAATTTTGCTTTATGTAGCTGTGTGTGAGAGCGGATGTCAAAATGGCGGGCGTTGTATTGGACCCAACAGATGTGCTTGTGTCTACGGTTTTACTGGGCCGCAGTGCGAGAGAGGTAAGCCATTGCTATGCTTCCAAAGTTCATATTTTCTCAAGTCTTAATTGTGTTGACGTCTGTGAAGATGTGCGGTTTGTTTACCGTCTCAGGCCTGCTTCAAGAATGTGGTAACACTGTGTCAATGTGACCCAGAAATGCTCCGATGGTAATTTACAGTACTTTAGTTTTGAGGCGGTGCGCTTCCCCTTCACTGTGGCTAGTGTGAAATTAATGCTACAGTTTACATTGTGGCCACATCTCTCAGAGCAGGAACAATGCGGTAATCTGGGGCGAAAAAAGGACGAAAGCCTCCCTCACGTGTGCACGAGACGTTCTATCAGAGGTGAAATCCTTGGCTGGAGTTATGAGAAAATGACATACTGAAAGGACCGTAAAGGCAGTTCCCATCAGGCCGTGTGAATTGTGGGAGAGAAGCGCCCCAGGCACACTAGACCGAATACCTAAGCCATTTTTCGGTACCCCACCCTCCTGCGTCTGGTTCTCTGTTTGACCCCACCCCTTCACGAAGCCCCTTGTGCAATCGTAGGCCGGTTCCCTTTGAAAACCCAACACAGGGAGGTGGAAAATTTTGGGAGACATCTGGCAGTAGATAAAGTAGGGTGGAAATGACAAGGGAACATTTCTGTGGAGACTTTTCTGACAAGAAAGGGTGGTGGTGGGGGGTGTTCTCCAAGAAATGGAGACCCCAGCTGTGTATACACAGCCAAGCCTGAACTAGTACAAACAATCTCTTCACACTGAGAGCACCGTCCACGGGACACCTTCCTCCTTTCTGGGCCACCCGACCAGATCCATTCAGTCCAGACTCTCGTCTCCGAAACTCCCCAGACACACCCTCAAGGTCCTTGCTTGTAGGTTGTAAAAACGTCAATCTAAGCAATTAGTCATTTCACAGAGCAGAAATAGACTCTTTATTTAGCCAGTCTCAGGCACACCTGTTTATCATCAAGCGACTGGATTTCACACAGTTGATGAATTTCCAAAAGATGATGCAGGCCTGATGTCAGTTTCTCTATTTGGTTCTTCCCAAAAAAGTCAGCACCGTCTTCCAAGAAAGAGGTAGTAACAAAGAAATTGAATCCTGAAAAGACTGAAGCACAATAGCTGGCTTGCGTTTTTAGAAAGTCAGTCGTCTGCAGAAGAGTTCAGCGAACATAATGCAAGCTCAGCTGTGAGTCGGCACGGTTTATAGAGGGAGTTAAGCGAGTTAACGGTAAGAATGGTGTTAGGCCCATCTAATTCGTTTTCCTTTTAGCCACGTGTGATCTGCGTTATCGCTTACCGTGGCCCACACTGAAGAAAGCTATGCGTAATATTCATTCGCAGTTGAGGGTTGACTTTGCTCAGGGTCATGGGTCACTAGTCCATTTTAGTTTGATCAATTACCACTGTTTTGGCACAGATGCCATTGGTTTTTTCTATGTGGTGCATTGGATTCTAGAGGAAAAGGGTTTTCCGAGCAATGAAATGTGACTAATCCTCCTGTAACCACAAGAGAATGAATGAAAAGGACCGAGTGTCACTAGACTGACTCATTTGGGAGTCATAAAACTGTTGTAACCTTGGCTTGTTGGATGTGTACAACAGAGATAAGATGCGAAGAGATTGCCTGTCTTAATTAGCCGTACTGTAAATCACAGAGCAGTAAAAGAGTTTGTTGGTCTGTCCGAAAAACTTCAAAGTCTTTCACAGGAACGCTTGACCGTCTAATGTTTTCTTTCTACCCACCCTTTTTTTCTTCAGACCTACGTGAATGAACTTCTGCTTCTCCCCAAGTGAAAAAAACTAATTTCTTATCTTGGTGTGTACTCTGATTAAACCGAAATAGGTCACAACAAAGCAAGAGACTATTCCCAGTCGTTGACTCTTAAGCACGTTTTTGGCTGCGCTTGAGGTTTCAACATGCAGTTGGGTCCCCACGGCTTGACGTTCCAGACTAGATTAACTTCCCTCTGACTGATTTTTCATTTCTTAGAAGGTCTTTCATGACAGTCTACTCCATTTCAGTCCATTAGCTCTGAGGATGATAAAAACAGGCCAAGCCATTGGAGTGTGAAGAAAGCTGGAATTCCTCCTGCCAAATTATGCTGCCACTCAGTCTTTGGACAAGGGTGAATGTCACATATCAGTGATCTTCTGAGGCATCGTTTTTCCCCATCTTGCCTCATGATTCATGATAATGTACGCTGCTGAATAGTTGGCAGATGTCACTGGCAGGGAAACACTGTGGTGACTAAACGGAAAGTAGAGGTGAGTGAGCGTTTGGCAGGATAGGGTGTAGGTGAATGGTTTTGATCTGACAAGCCACTCGAATTGTAATCAAGGCGAAATTACTTCCGAATGTTGTCTGCATCACAGACACATCCCCCCTTCTCCGGAATATGAGTCTGCTTGCTTTTGGGAAGCAAGGTCTGCGCTTCCGGCTTCCGAATGATGTTGGCAGGAGCCTTTAGACTCCCTGGCTCCAGTTTCATTGTAGATCAAAGGGTTGTTAGACAGACCTGAGCAGCTTCAAGGATGTTCTTATGGCAGACATTTCTCAGTACCTTCTACATTATTATCCTTCACTGCAAAGCAACTTGTGACGTCCATGCAGTCCTCTGTGTTGGTATTGTAAAACTACTTACATGTCCAAAAAAAGTTGACCAGGGGTCTGCAAACTTGGTCCTGTAGGGCTGGTGTTCTGCAGAGTTTAGCTCCAAATTGCTTCAACACACCTGCCTGGAAGTTCTAGCATGCCTAGTAAGAACCTAGGATTGGGTATCGTTTGAAATGTATCAATTCCAATTCTGATTTCGATTCTGCTTATCGACTCTGATTCTTTTCGATTCCCAGTTTCAGTTCAAATGTGATTAAAGAATGATATCAAGCATATCTATTCTGTATCTCTTTTTGCAAAACATTTAGTTGTAGCTAAATAGCATGAACAAAAATTAGCAGGCTACATGAAAACTGGACTCGTTTAAGAGCTGTTTGTGTGCAAAATAGAGCTGCATGATTCTGGATAAATTGAGGGTTTTTTTATGGAGATTGTGGTTTTCTTATGATTCTGAAGAAAAAACAGACAACTAAACAAAATCACATGTAATTTATGAATGAATGATTCAATGACTAATTCAAGATTTACTTGTTTCATTACTGGATGAATCAGCATTTTTGAACGAATCTCTTGAATGATTCAAAGACAAATACATTTTAACAGCCCATTTTCGCCACCTACTTGTGTTTTTTTTTATGGAGATTGTGGTTTTCTTATGATTCTGAAGAAAAAACACAACTAAACAAAATCACATGTAATTTATGAATGAATGATTCAATGACTAATTCAAGATTTACTTGTTTCATTACTGGATGAATCAGCATTTTTGAACGAATCTCTTGAATGATTCAAAGACAAATACATTTTAACAGCCCATTTTCGCCACCTACTTGTGTAACATTGTAATTGATAAATCTTTATTTAAAGTGTCAAATTACTTTTAAAAGGTTATTTACTCTTATTTTAATCGCTATTTAAATGTTCAAATCACACTGATGTGATCGTACGCTGCACGGACGAACCAAATGATCACAACGTTGTGATCGCACACGTCAAAAGGTTGAGGAATGAAACAGATGAATCATTGTAATTTAGGAATAGAATCATGGTGTTTGTATTGTGTTTGTGATCTTTAATGATCTGTTAAATTAAAGTGCTTTGTAATGTTGGTGGTGACATCTCTCTTGCTTAGCTTGTTTAGCTTATCACAAATATTATACTTAGCTTTTTCGGCTTCTGATCGCAAGTGTAGCCAAACTTTGGAGCTCTTAGATTAGTGAGCAAGGTCCTGGCAGATCGCCAGTTTGGGTCCTCCCAGATGAAAGAAAAAAGCGCACACAGAAATCGATTGGTGGAATCGAAATTTTAATTTTACAGCAAGTATCCAATTTCTGACCTCAAGTATCCGATTCTGGAATTGGAATCGATGTTCGATTCCCAACCCTAGCTACCTCAAAGTAGAGGTCGCAAGGTTGTTTTTGCTTATAGACACTCTATTTTTTTGCACTGAATTTGTTTGCTCCCAACAGGGGAAATGACCAAATCCATAAATTAAGAAGATCTTGACTTTATAGATATGCCCCAGAACAGTTTGGGTCCTCCCAGATGAAAGAAAAAAGCGCACACAGGAATCGATTGGTGGAATCGAAATTTTAATTTTACAGCAAGTATCCAATTTCTGACCTCAAGTATCCGATTCTGGAATTGGAATCGACGTTCGATTCCCAACCCTAGCTACCTCAAAGTAGAGGTCGCAAGGTTGTTTTTGCTTATAGACACTCTATTTTTTTGCACTGAATTTGTTTGCTCCCAACAGGGGAAATGACCAAATCCATAAATTAAGAAGATCTTGACTTTATAGATATGCCCCAGAAGGCTTTACCCATATGCATATCATCACTCACCGTAAGAGTCAAAGCAGCAATATAGAGAGGCTGATGAATTGGAATACTGGATATGCACGGACACATCTGGGCCTTAGCTTGTCCCATCGTAGTCCTGACCAGGCACAATTAATCAATCCCAGATGTGCATAGGATGCTCACAGTGGGTTGCCTCAACTTGGAGAGGACCTGCATTCCTGGACTCAAATTGTCCAGGAAGAACGGCCAGGTCAGGGGAGTGCATGAGGGACAAGGAGAAGGGACAGCAAGGGGATTTGAAGGCACGTGAAGGGGAAATCTTCATAGTCCTTCTTCCCTTTTTGTCTTCTCCTCTTGACCTACTTTCTTAGTGCCATTTCCCTCCCTCTTGGGTATGGATATATGATTTAGCTTTTGTTTTGCATGCAATATTATGAAGGATATGGAAAGATTTGTTAATTTCTTTGAGGAACGACCAGGATCAGGATCTCATTCACATCCCGCCAGAGTAAACCGACTCTCACAGAATACCCCAAACAAATGCAGGATCTCGTTCAATTATGTTTTCAAAACAACACTAGCAAAGACTTGGAGGATGCAATACCGCACAGCCGGGCATTTGTTTGAGTTCTTTTAAACAGAAATGACTGCATCCTGAAATGGTCAGTTTATTTCAGTGTCGAATTGGTTTGTTTGATGCTCAAAACATCGTTAATGTGATTACTGTAAGTCGTCTCAATTGGCAGCCAGCACAAAGGAAGTCACTTGGCCGAATCTCCAACAGTCAAAACAGTGCAAGTACCACTATCCCACATTTCGACCTCAGCCAAAAACAAGATTGTTTGTCATGGAAATTGCCATTATTGATGCAACCCAGCAATTTCTTAGCGATTATCTGGTTATCCTATTAGAAGACCGTGAAAGAGAATTCCTGTCAGAGCATTCCCAGACCGACCTCCAGCTTGGGAAACAGCTGCGTGATGGAGAAGATGCATATGCTTATTTCTTTATCCATGAATGTGATTTCTTGTGGTCATAATTTCTTGGTTGCATGTCATGTTTGTTAGCGCTTTTTTTCATGGGTTTTTTCAGCCCATGTTGGCTTGGTGGTCTTGGCTGGTTTATCCTAGTTTAGCAATTGGCCAGCTAGTCAAATAAATGCCACGAAACCAGACTAACCTGACCAGTGAAAACCAGCATAGTGGCCAGCGAAGCCCAGCACACCACCTTAGGCCAGTTTAAGCTGTTTTCATGGTTTTGAGATGGTATTGTTCCCTATGAAAGGCTTTTTCACTATTGTAGCCAGAGCTGGGTAGTAACTGATTACATGTAATCTGGATTACGTAATCAGATTCCAAAAATTAAATACTTGCAATTAGATTAAATTACATTTCAAAATACTTATCAGACTACAGTAACTTTTTGATCCATTTTTATTTGAATTATTACTCAGTATGTTATTTAACCATTTATTTGTATCTCTTTGGAACAAATCCACATTATGTCTTATTTACATGTAATGCAGGGATTCCCAAACTTTTTTTTATCATCTTTCACCCAATATATTTACTTGAAGTACCACTGAGATTCAAAAGTAAATATTTTAATTATTAAGTATCACATTTGCATGTTCATGGTTCTCTGACGTTGATTAATGGTCACATGACATGCAGGTAAACAACTGAAACATTCCCATTTTTTAGTAAGAGTTGCATTTTGATTGATGTCATTTTAGAATTATTTAATTTTACATTATTATGATTTAATAAATTTTTAGATTTTCATTAAACTCACAAACCACCTATAGTTCCTTTATAAACCGCGTTTTGGGAAACCTTGAAACAATATATTGTTTAATGCACTTCGTGCTGTAGGGATTCCCAAACTTTTTTTTATCATCTTTCACCCAATATATTTACTTGAAGTACCACTGAGATTCAAAAGTAAATATTTTAATTATTAAGTATCACATTTGCATGTTCATGGTTCTCTGACATTGATTAATGTTCACATGACATGCAGGTAAACAACTGAAACATTCCCATTTTTTAGTAAGAGTTGCATTTTGATTGATGTCATTTTAGAATTATTTAATTTTACATTATTATGATTTAATAAATTTTTAGATTTTCATTAAACTCACAAACCACCTATAGTTCCTTTATAAACCGCGTTTTGGGAAACCTTGAAACAATATATTGTTTAATGCACTTCGTGCTGTTAATTACAACGAATGGAATATATTTGCATTTTTATATCAATATGGTACAAGATTATCCTATTTAAATCAATGTGATAAACGAGTTAGGTCAAAAGTATTCTAAAAGTAATCCAAAAGTAGTCTGATTATATTACCTAAAATGTGTAATGCAATGGATTACGTTACTAAATACAATTAAATTAATGAAATTTGGAATCAGTTATGGACTACAATTTGTAAGTAAACTACCCAGCTCTGGTATCCCAATAGTTTATTCACATACTTATCGACCTCTCTAACACTCTTCATCTCTCCTATAATCAGACTACAGGACTGGGCCATGCTTCACACAAGTCAACAACCAGATGTGCCAAGGTCAGCTGAGCGGCATCGTTTGCACCAAGACGTTGTGTTGCGCCACCATCGGGCGAGCGTGGGGTCACCCATGCGAGATGTGCCCTGCCCAACCCCACCCTTGCCGAAGAGGTTTCATCCCCAACATCCGCACCGGTGCTTGCCAAGGTAAGAATGAGTGTCTGGCGTCTGAACAAACAGTTCTTTCCTTCTCAGCGTCTGGCGAATTCTTGCCCTAATAACCAGCCTGACGTGGCAGATGACACTAAGAGCGGTCATGGACTGTTTAGGGTAACCCCTACCACTCCAGTCCCTGTCCAAGAGGACACTTCCCCATTGTGTTTCTTGGTAGAGTCAAATATTTAGATGACTTCCATTGGGAGTGTTTTAAATGGGATTACATAATGGCTTGTCACATTTATTTGTAATTATAGGCATATTGTTTGGACTTCTTGTTTGATATTCAGGGACACAGATGGACATGATTTAATTCTGTTCTCAAGGCCTGTTACACATTATAAACATATTCGATTAGGTCATGAACATTCAGTAGATGAGGTTACCATAGCATGATTAACACTGATTTGGAGAGGCTTTTTTCGGTCAGATACAATTTTTCGTTTGCAACAGGGGCAAGCAAAACTCTTGCAAAACTATTTTGATGGGAATTACGTATTATTTTGCAGGACCCAGTATATTTATGTCACTACATTCAGTTCTCAGTTCTTTTTCCTTGACGCTGTGGATTCTGCACAGTGTTTTATATACTATTTAGATTTAGTTAACAACAATAACCCTGATTCTGCAGCAGCGCAGATGAAAATAACCAGCTCTTACAATCCAGTTGCTTCGCCCTCAGAGATATTTTGCGAGCCAAAATAGCAAATGCCGCCCTGATTTCACACATCATCTCAAAGACGACCCCTCCCAATGTCTGTCTTTAACTTAAGATATTCTTTTCCTCCCCTCAATATACAACATAAGAGACAAGTCCAAGTCTGGCCTAGATTTGCCCAAAGACGGAGTGCTTTTGCAAAAGTCTGCCTGGCTGAAGTACAAAGCACACACATGTGCACATTCGGGCGGGAGGATTTGCGTACCGTGCAGCGAGCTTTCCAGAGTATTTTTGTGTTTGACGGCATTTAATGGAAGAAGTTATTTTCAGTCTATATTAGTAGACAGAACCAATGATTTGGTGCTTATTGGATACAGGTTGAAGGTCTGCGGATGTGCGTATCAACATAAAGAGACAGATTAATGCAGTGCTAGCCTGATATGTAAGCACTGTCCAATCCAGACAATACCAAAGATCTGTAATTGTGTTATGAAGTCTGAAAATGCCCAGACTGTGAGCTAACAAAGATGATACATGTGTTTAACCAAAGTCCCTTTCAAGGAACGTCCGTTCACTCGGCCGCCATATTTGCAACGCCCCCGGGCAGCTCAAACAAGAACAAGTCCTATCTAAACGAATGGGGGAATCCTGAAATCTCAAAAACTGGCCGCTGAACTCGCGATTAAATTAGATATTTCAAATCAGCAACAAAATCTGAAATGAACCGCCCCATGAATGTTGTTTCTTATGCTCAAATAGCGTTTAAAAAGCTTATTTTTCAGGCTAGACCAGCCAATGCGCATGCGTAGTTCCAACGCGCTTATGACTGTGCATGCGCATCGGTTGGTTTAGCCTCGGGTTTCTATGGGATCCGGAGCTTCTAACGGCCGCTGCAGTGATACGCCGCTGAACTCGCGATTAAATTCGATATTTCAAATCAGCAACAAAATCTGAAATGAACCGCCCCATGAATGTTGTTTCTTATGCTCAAATAGCGTTTAAAAAGCTTATTTTTCAGGCTAGACCAGCCAATGCGCATGCGTAGTTCCAACGCGCTTATGACTGTGCATGCGCATCGGTTGGTTTAGCCTCGGGTTTCTATGGGATCCGGAGCTTCTAACGGCCGCTGCAGTGATACAATAACTTTACCAATCAACGATTGGCTCTTTCATTTAGAAGGCTGGACTATCCTGCCATATTGCGCGTTGCAGTTTCTCCCATTCATAAGTATAGGAGTGAATCGTCTTTGTATTTCTATAGTCTTTGGTTTAACCCTCTCATAGATATAAAGTGAACAACAAGAGATCCTTAAACTAAGCGAAACCCATTAGAGTCTCAATTTAAGAGCTTTAGACGCTGCTGTTGTAGTAGAAATTACCAGGTTTGTGCCCTTACAGAAAATTCAGTGCTACATAAAAAGACGTCCAAAACCTGGAAATTAAACTTATGTCCGTTGAATTTGAAATAAAAGGTCTTGCTTTCACTGCAATCATGTTACTTGACCTGAAAAGAAAAACAATAGGTTATATTTAGAATTAAATACTAGTGTACTTATTGCATACTTCACAGCATATATTGACGACTCTCTTTTTAGTATGTGAAATAGTATGCAAGATAAACACTGCTGTAGATGTACACAACACTGTTGTCATTACATTATATCCAGTTTTAGGCTTCTTTGAGAACTAATTTCTGTGCAAATCAATTGTAAGTCCATTCTTAAACGGCTTCATATAATTAGTTTTACATGAACGATTTAAACAAAAAATTTTTTATAAATGAGGCTCATTGTTAAAAAGAAAACCTGCTAAATTTTGTGTAAAAATTCTTACCTCTTCTGCAGTCAGATCGAATAATATGTAATGATAAGCTTAAAACTTGGTTGATATTGCTTCCAGGTTGTAAAAATTTAATTTAAAATTAAATTGAATGTGTTTATTGGTAGCGAGTTGAGTGCATTGGATGTATGGTTGTTCACAGCATTTTTGCAAAAGTACTGTTTATGAGATAAAAACAAAAAAAAATGTATTAAACCATTTGGTCAAGTTGTGTTCAAACTGTGTTTGCTTCCTTTCTTCTCTTCATTTTATTAGACGTGGACGAGTGTCAGGCCGTCCCAGGACTGTGTGCTGGAGGAAACTGCATTAACACAGTGGGCTCCTATGAGTGCAAATGTCCCGCGGGTCACCGGCAAAGTGAGACCAACCAGAAGTGCGAAGGTACGTCACTTACTGCACAAAGTCCAAACCACACAAGCTGTCAGAAAACAGCACGAGAATGATCTCAGTCCTATTCGTAACTCGTAACTGGAAAAAAAAGTTGAGTCACACACTTGGCGTCTTCTTCGACATTGTAAGCTTTCCGAGTTGTTGATATGCATGAAATGTTGACGTCAGATCTGAGAATCCAGGGAGAATTGCCTGGAATCAGCCTAGATGATGGTTTATGCTGGTTTCTGGTTTAGTTGGTTGACCGTTTTCCTCTGTGGGTCTGTCTTTAACGTTAGACAGTGCTGTTTGGGTGGAATTTAAACAATGCAGATTGAAAACAAACAGGCGTGTTGTAAAGCGGGGGTCTGTGGTTCTTGGATCCAAGCCTGCCCTTTAGGAGGATTGAGATAATACCTAAATAGAGAGATAAAGAGAGAGATAGTGGATCACAGCTATTATATACCAGATGGGTGTGGTTATTTCTTATCTACCACAGTATTATATTTCAATTTAGTGTGCTGTTTTGGTATTACAATACTGGTGCAAAATGCAAGTGAATTAACAATAGTTAATGGAGAAAACGGGCAGTATTAACAAATAAAGTAAAACAATAGGTGCAAAAATAAGAATTTTGAATAAATGTGTTCTTGAAAATACAACTGAACAATAGTAAATAAAAGTAAATATGTTAAGTTAAAATTAATTAATGAAATAAAAAAATATTTTATACATATTTTCAGTGTAATTTTAGTTTTTATAAATATGTGCTTGTCATTATATTTATTTATTCATTTTTTTGTTTTAGTTTTTTTACTTCTATTTGGCTTTAATTCCATATTTATTCTATATATTTTAATATATAATTCTATATATTTTAAAACTATGTTCTTACTTTAATTATATTTACTAGTTTTTAATTAGCACCTCGACTTATTTTATTGCAGTTAATAACCAAGGCAACATTCCTAAATTAATTTAAATTCTCATCTAATATTTATCATTTTATTTCAGCTAAAATAAAATAAATATTTTATTTATTGAAATTGTATTCTTTTTATATAATTTTATTTTACACTATTGCACTATTTATAAAATAAATGTATTCAAATATTATATTTTATTTTACACCGCGGTTTCATTCAAATCTGTTTTATAAAGGTCAGCATTGATTACAGCTTGCATTCTGCTTTTCCAGGCAGTCTTCTAATGAAAAGTGTCCTACCTGTAGTAAATGACATTACTCAGAGGTTGTTTTTATCATAACTCTATTAACTTGATTTATGTTTTATTCAAGTATCTACTTTGTCTCAGATGTTTGTCATAAAATTCCTGAGTAGGAATACTAATAGGCACAAATGAGTTGTTGATATACAGGAAGAGTACAGCGCTGTAAAAAATTCAGAGACACATTTATTTTCTCATAGATGCATCTGGGAAGCAAGAAAATTAAGTAAAAGTGAAAACGCTTACTCCCGGTTACGCTTACTCTTAATGGTGTCTAGGAGAAACAACTGAGATCTCATTTGTGACTTTCCTGCAAGTTTCTACATTTTCACTTCTCATTCAAAACTGTAAGTAAAGAGTTAAGCATGTAAACCAATAGGATTCGACATACTTCCAGTAAGCCAGACGGAGGGAATCCCAACCCTTGAGGTTATTAGTTTAACGCAGAATCACATTTTGACCCCGAATGACAAGGCCGTGACTAAAATGAAGGTTTGGAGAAGAAGCAGACCTCTGTCTGCAGGCTTCACCCAGGCAGCCCTTTTCCTCAAGCAAGCAAATGAGAGAGAAATGTCTGTAAATTAGATACTCGAGTGATCACTAAAACACCCTGAACTATGAGTCTGAATGGCTGGAGTTCGCTGGAAAAGTGCTGCTCTGTTTTCTTTGAAGCCTTGTGGAGGGTGGAAAAAAACCCCAGGTGGTAGTTCTGTGGGGCGAGGAGGGGCGCTTAATTACAAGACAATGGTGTGGTGGAAAAAGTCTTGCCCCGGACGAGGAGGTACAGCATGAGGCATACCTCGCACTGCTTACGGGGCACTTTCTGACTCTCAAGAGGTGGTAAGGAGACTTACTCATTTCAGCGAAAGTAGCTCAAGAAAGCTGAAAACAGTTTGCATGAAAATGCACATATAAAGGTTCCTGTAGGACTTTGGGTTTAGCAGAACTTCTTATATTTAGTGATTTAGGGTTCTTGATTTGTCATAAGTTCCTGAGATTTTTAACGTTATATTATAGTTCTTCTCATTTTAGATCATCCATTCCATTATTAAAAACTTCTTGCAATGTCATAGAAGGACCTTTCTAAGTTCTTATGATGCTGTAAAAGAACCTTTCAAAGTTCTTAGGTCACAGAAGAACCTTTTTGTGACATCATATGAACCTAAAATGGAATGTTGATGTATCTTTTTTTTAAGTTCATAAGTCATAGAAGAACCTTTTTGTAATATCATAAGAACCTAAAGTTCATTATAGGAACTTAAGGTTCTTATGATGTGATAAACAGGTTCTTATAATGTCTTACAAATGTCTAAGTTCAATGCCACTGAAGAAAACTTCAAAAAGTTCTTATAATGCCATTAAACTTTGTTTTTATGATATTATAAAAATGTTTTTTTATGACTTAACTAAAAAAGGGTATTCTAAGGTTTTGCGTGTCATAGAAAACTTTTTACGTGTTTATATCATAAAATGGTTCTTTTAAACAGGTTTGTCTGAGCTCTTATGATGTCATTAAATAACCTTTTTAAGTGCTTAAAATTTCCATTAAAAATTCAACTTCTTATAACATCATAAAAGGTTCTCCTATGAATGAAGAAGTTATAAAGGTTCTTCTAAGTTCTTGCGATGTCATAGAAAAACCTTAAGAAGAACTTTTATTTTAATGGAATTAGAAGAACTTAAAAAGGTTCTTCAAGGACAATCTAAAAAGAAATGTATGATATCATAAGTTCTTTAATGGTGTTATAAAAATTAAAAAGGTTCTTCTGTGAAAGAACCTATTTAAGTTCTTCAGTCATGAGAACCATTTTATGATAATTAAAAAGGTTCTTCAATGACATAATGAGAACTTAGAAGAACTTTATGATATCATAAGAAATTGAAGTACTTTAATGGCGTTACAAGAACTTTAAAAGGTTCTTCTGTGATACTGTAAGAACTTAAGGTCCTTGCACACCGAGTCCGAAATTTTCGTATGTTTCGTATTCGTCATCCTTTCCTATCAAAATGTTTGCTACGGATGCGAAAACGCAGAAAATCGAACCTGATCCAAATTTTTTTTATGATGGACGAAAGTTTCGGAGGCAGTGTGTAAACGTGATTGACACAACGTGTTAAAAAAGCTTGCTACGGATGCGAAAACGCAGAAAATCTAACTTTTTTTTTTACGTGCAAAAATTTCGGACGAGAATTTCGGAGTGCTCAGCATCTTGAAATGTTTAACAATTCCAGGAAATGCTGTATTTTAGATATTGACGAATGCACAACCATTTCGGGAGCGTGTGACGGCGGGGAATGTACCAACACCGCCGGCAGCTACGTGTGCACCTGTCCGCGGGGATACGTTACCAGCACAGACGGCTCCAGATGTGTCGGTGAGACTCTTTCATCCACACACACACAAACACACATGCACGCCCACTCGTGTTCTCGTGACCTTACACTCCTGGGTCGCATCTGAGCCGTGCATCATATTGCTTGTATGACTCGTGGGATGAACTTGTGTGTGGTCAATCGCTTCAAGCCCAGGCAAGTGTGCTTGTGTGTATATAGGCCGGTATCTTCATCTGCAAACAGGACAGAACTGTTGTTTTAAAAATGTAAATAAACCTGGATGAGTTAGCGACATATTTTTTCAGGTCAAATGTGTAATTTCTGCACCACTAGTGGCACCTAATGGAATTTTTTGACGGAAATTTTCTGACGGAAAAATTCTGGTGCTGCTAATGCCGCAGAAATGTTTACGTTTCAAATTTGTTTCTTATTTTGAGCTCTTAAAATGTTTAATTCTCAGGATTTGCTCATTGCATGTTCGTGTTTTTGTTCAAATCTTGCTAAAAAAATTTCATTTCTATTGTTAGCTAACTTAAAATAATCAGTTCATTTTAGCAATAAAGTTCTTCTGTAGCATCATATAAACTTAAAGTTCTTCAGTGACTTTATAAAAACTTTTTCAGTTTTGAATTGGTTTCTTGTTTTGAGAATGAACATCTTCCAGTGTCAGTATTTACTCATTCAACGTTCATGTTTTAACATTTTGCAAAAAAAAGAAAAAGTTGCTAGCAAAATATTAATATATTAATCTATATTAATATTCAGTCCGTTTTAGCAAAAGATGGCTAAAAGTTCTTCTGTAGCATCATATGAACCTAAAAAGTTTCTTTTTTCAATGAATTCACAAGAACTTAGAATCTTTTTAAGATTTGAATTGGTTTCTTGTTTTGAGAACTTAAAATTTTTCATGTCGGGATTTACTTTTACGCTCAGGTCATTTTAACAACAGATAATTTTTTTACATTTCTGTTGGTAGCAAACATAAAATGGTCAGTCCATTTTTTGCAAAAGATGTCTAAAAGTTATTCTGTAGCATCATATAAACTTAAAAAGCTTTATCTATGGCATCATTTACTTTTTAGGTATCATTTAGGTTTTAGGTTTTGAATTTGTTCCTTTCGTGTCAGAATTCACCCGTGGTATGTTAATGATTTTGTTAACATTGTCTTTTTGTTGTTTTTCTTTTTCAGAAAACATAAAATTGTCAGTCCATTTTTGCAATTCTTCATTCTTCTGAGACATCATAAGAACTTTGAAGAACCGTTAGCTTCATCATAAGAATTTAAAAATGAGTTTATAAGAATTTCATCATAAGAATTTAATTAATAGAACTTAAAATGTAATTATAAAACTTAAAGATTGCATTATGAAACAAACCTTTAATCATAAGGATTTAAAAGACTTTATAAGAATTTCATCTTAAGAATTTAATTATAAGAACTTATGAATGTTCTCTTATGGTATTGGGCTGTAAAACCCTTTTAGAAACTTGATCGTGTTTGTGAAGCAGCTGTCAGGAAACCTCAGCCAGGTGTTGCACGGTTCAGTGCATATCAGAACAACACTGACACGAAAAATCCAGTTTTGCTGAAGGACATGCTTGCGTTATGGAATTGATTAAAAAACTGTGTGATCTGACATCCCTTGGATAAAAGAGGTCATACTCACACTCATCTTACAATGATTGTTGTTTTCCAAAAAAAATAAAATGTTGTCAATCTTTCATCAAAACATTCTGGGAAACACAAGCAGAAATAATTTCTATAGGTTTATTTGTAAGAAAAAAAAATGTAACGCACTTCTTGGTTTCACAAATAATTTACCTGATAATTTGTTCGACTTGTTTCATAAATGCAACAATTTACATACAAATAAATCTCTGTGCAAATGAAAATATTTGGGGTAAAAGATGTCATATTAATGGCCATCTTATTATGATTGTTGTTTTCAATAAGAAAAAAATATTTGTTTTCATAATCTTTCATCAAAACATTGTGAGAAACACATGGAGAACTAATTTCGGCATAAATTGGCATTATGAAAAATGTTTGTAAAACCAATTGTGGATTTGCAAATAATTTACCTGAAAATTTATTTGGTTGATTTAATGAATGAAACAATTTACATTCAAATGAAACTTTGTACAAATGAAAATCATTCAGGTAAAAGATGCCATATCCATGCTTATCTTACAATTATTGTTGCTTTCAATAAGAAAACATTTTTTGTTTTTGTAATCTTTTGTCAAACATTGTGAGAAACACATGGAGAACAAATTTCTTCATAAATTGGCATTAAGAAAAATGTTCGTAAAACCTATTGTGGTTTTGCAAATAATTTACATGGGAATTTATTTGGTTGATTTAATGAATGCAACAGTTTACATACAAATGAAACTTTGTACAAATGAAAATTGTTCAGGTAAAATATGTCATATTCATGCTCATCTTACAATTATTGTTACTTTCAGTAAGAGAAAAAAAAAATTGCTTTCGTAATCTTTCATCAGAACATTTTGGGAAACACATGGAGAAAATTCTTTGGTTTTACAAATATCTGGAAATTTGTTTGGTGATTTCATGAATGCAACAATTTACATTTTTTCTGTTGACGTCACAAAGGTCAAATGCACAGGCAGATGTAAATGTATTTAAATGTGATGCCATTACACACTGCCTTTAAAAACGCAATCCAAAGTTTTAGGCTTTAGTTTGAGACTTCAGTTTGGTTATGGAGAGAGTTTGTTGGTTTCTTTTGGTGAACAGGTCTCGCGCGGTCTCATCCAGTCTCGGGGGATCAGACGCCAGAGGACAACGGTGAAAACAGAGTCACATGGATGCTATTTCCTCCTGCTAACATTCCAGTACAGTGAGGCAGAGGCACTGTTGACTCTGGCGTCGCCTCTGTCTTTTCTCTTTACTGTCCGTTTCTCCCACACTCCCTTCTCTTTTTATACACGCCGTCTTGAGTTTCTCACTCCCGCCACCCCATATGTCTCTCGTAACCCCGTGATCTGTAGGGTCCCCGGGTGCAAATAAAGAAACGTGAGATATCGGCCCTGGATGATGCATTGACGTGGCCTTCATTTGTTCCCAGAAACCCGTGTGAATTTACGCCAAACGTTCACTGTACATATGGATCCCGTCGTAGTGGAGAATGCGGGCAGCCCGCATGATTTTCTACATGTTGACATACAAAACAAGGAAGCCAAAATGGTTTTGGGAGCATGATGTCATGGGAGAATGTTCAAAAGTTGATGTGAAATCAAAATTGACTTTCACAATTGTGCGCAATTCATCAGTGCATGTTATTCTAAAGGCGAACCATGCTATTAGTAACCAACAACAAGCTATTTAGACATTGTTTTAGGACAGAAACCAAAGGCAGCACTAAAGTTTTGTGGTATCTTTGCATTGGTGCTTTGTATCGTGCAAAACCAGGCCGTGGGGAGTCATTTAGCCTGACGCTAATCAGCGTTAATGCACCGCGGGGCCCCAATGCAAACACGAAAAATCTCTCTTTGAGGCTCGAGAGAAGGTCTGGTTCCAATTGAAGCCAGTTTCCCATCACCATGCTTGCGAAACCCACCCTGCACCCCTCAGGCCGGGTCGATCCCAGGAGGCTGCAGTTCGGGAGTGTGCGCCTGCAACCTCCAGACGAAGGGTTTCTTATGTCCGACGTAATTGGCTGAGATTACTCCACATGGACTTGATTTATGGCAGAGTGCTGGCTCATTAGCCGAGTTAATCGACTCTCACCCCCCCCTTTCACATGGTTTGCTCACGCTAATGTTGCAGTGTACGCACCCTATCACAACCAGCCCCCCTCGTTGACCTTGACTGAGTGAAACGTACCATCTCAAGCCTGTATGCTTTCGGTCCTCCGGTGGCTTTCTCAGGCTCCCACCTCATAAATTAACTTCCTACTAGGGGACTGTGTAAAAGGGCACGCATGGACCTGACTTCCTGCGAAGTGCGACTGTACTTGCGAGAAAAGCATTTGTGGTATTTGGAGTTAATAAATTGGTATAAATGTCATCACTTTTGGCAATTTGAGTCAAAAAGGGGAGTTAAAATAATATTTTATGTTATTTCCAGGTCAATAACTGTGGCCCAAATGATGCACTATACACTAAGTACTTATGCACTCAACCATGTAGAGTATGAATTATATAAGGTTATTTTGTCTTGAGTAATCAAAGTCTGATAGTCCCTCCATCTTCGCAACATAATTAAAGCTGCGACAGTTGAGTGCATGAAGTGTCCAAAATTCCATACTTAGTTCTTTTTGTTAAGTGAATCATCCGGGTATTTAAAGTGCACTTATTCTTTTTGGAATTTTCAGTGTGAACACACTACTTATACCACAAAATGTCATAGAATAGTGCATAAGTACGCGATTTGGGACGCACCTATTGTCTCTCACTTAAAATGAAAGGCCAAGTTGAGCGCATTGCATTGTGGGATACTGTTATTTCATACTGCTCATTTTGACGAAATTCACATATTGTTTACAGTATGCATACTAGGCAAAAACAGTAGCATTTCTGATATCTCTCTCGTTCTCTTTCACAGATCATCGGGTCGGTACGTGTTTCTCGTCTTTAGCTAACGGCCGATGCGCGAGCGAACGGTCCGGTCAGTACACAAAGATGCAGTGCTGCTGCGACTCGGGCCGCTGCTGGGCACTCGGACACATCCCAGAGATGTGCCCCGTCAAAGGATCCGGTGAGTGGGCTTATGCTAATCACTAGCATTACAGCTAAGGCGTCAACCATCACAGTTACTATTGCTAATGCTAGAAATCTGAACGTTGTCAGTGGTTTTTAGAGTTTTTATTCAACGTCTATTAGCTTTGAGGTGAATGGCTGTATGCTAGCATATTCCTAAAAGATATTTAATGTATATACACATTTAAAATGAGCTTTTTATAACTTATAGAGCTTTTTTGAAGTTTATAGTCCATGTCAGTTATCTTTGAGGCTAACATCTGTATGTTAGCATACTCCTACAAGACATGTAATTCTGAACTGTACAGATTTTAAAGTACATTATGATCCTTTCATGATATGCTGAAATGAGTGTTGATACTTCTCGTACTGTATTACAATAAAAACATAATTTCAAAGGAGGAATTTCTTCAGATGTGCGAGCGTTTGACCTTTATGTAGCGCTCTTTGAAGAATCGCTCCAGACATGCTGTACCTCACCACAAAATCACGATAAATACATGTCAGGTCAGCAAAGCGACCGTCCCTCGGGATAATAAAATGTTCTCTTTCATTCCCACTTCTTCTCACCTGTGTGTTTTACGCTCTTCCCTCCTCTTTGACACCGTCGTGTGTCTTCCGCAGGAGCGGCTGCCAAATCCTTGGTTTTTCTGCTTTCGTTTAATGCGCAAGCAAAACTCAGTTTGCTCATTATTTAATTGTTTGTCATGTATTGAATGATTTATAAGTAGATCTTAGTTTATATTATCTATATTTAATGAAATTATTTGTTTAATGTTTAAAAAAATATTACATATATATATATATATATATAGTACAGTACAATATATTCATGTCCATAAAAGTCTGTTCAAAACTTATACATTGTATATTATTTTAGTGTACGCACATAAAATAGTATATAATAAAATAATATACATTATATAAATAAAATATATATTATAAATTTAAATGTAACAGTTGAAAAATATATAGGAACATACATAGACTTTGAAATAAACTATATATATATATATATATATATATATATATATATATATATATATATATATAATGTTCTATATTTTTTTATTAGTTTATTGTCATTTCTACGTATGTTCCTACTTCCTAAGTGCAAACTATTACATTTAAATAAATATTATTTAAATATAGATTATGATTATAAATATGTATATATAATATCATTATAAATAAACATATATAATAGCATTGTTACATATTTAATATTAATATTGAAAAATACAATTATTTTATAGTTATTAAAAAGTTTGCATTTAAAGTAGGAATATACATAGGAATTTCTGCAATTTGCAACTTCTATAAATTGTAGGAATTGTATAAATTGCAATATATTTCCGCTGGTATAGTGTAAAAGCATCTATTGTTCATTTGCAGATGAATACAGGCGACTGTGCATCCATAGGCTTCCGTTTGCCACCGGTAACGGCGGCGGCACCATCCACGACGGCAACGGCGGTCTGAACATCGGCAGCTACGGCAAAGGTCCCTCGCAGAACGGAAACGGCGGCGGCTACATTTACGGTGGCGAGCACACCATCGGAAACGGCAACGGAGGCAACGGTGGCCTGAAGATTCAGATCAGTGAGTGGAAGCTGCCAGCTGCCAGCTTTTCCCTCCAACTAACCGTCCGAAGCTAAGTACTCAGTGGTGTTTTCCTGTTTGTGCTCAGGCCAGCTGAACGAGACTACGATCGACGTGTGCAAGCATTTCACCAACCTGTGCCTGAACGGCCGCTGCATTCCCACGCCCACCAGCTACCGCTGCGAATGCAACATGGGATACCGGCAGGACGTGCGCGGGGAGTGCATCGGTAAACCTGTGCATTCATCTTTCTGTCAAGAACAGTCAGTGTCTTGAATGCTGGCATGATCTGAAATGTCCTCTGCTGCCATCTGTAGGCGGTGTGCTTGACTTCCACAGGCCTGAGGGTTATAAACAGCTGATTTTGTCAATATTTTAGCACCTATTATTGATTAATAGTGTCTCTCATACATCTGCTTTCTACCCTCAGATGTGGACGAGTGCGTCAGTAACCCGTGTGTGAACGGAGACTGTGTCAACACACAAGGATCGTATCACTGCAAATGTCACGAGGGATATCAGGGAACTCCCACCAAACAGGCCTGCATTGGTTTGTGGCATGATATAATTCTATTATATGCCAAAAACATTTCTGTGGTGTCTCAATTTAGAGCTAGAACATGTTTAATGCTAACATATTTACATTCCAAAGTCTTTAGGGCTAAAAAAAAAACAACAACTTTAAAGCAGAAAAAGATAATTATATTATATAATTTTCTAATCTTGTGCTCCATGCCTACACTATTATTTTATTTATACTGTTATTAATTTAGTTTTTATTCATTCTTTTGAACAATTTCTTGCTTACAATGCAAAAATGCTTACATTAATTATAGTTACATATATATATTACTTGTAAAGTATGTTAATTTAGCTGTTTTTCATGTTTTGTTATTATTTTTCGCTTAAAATACAACAAATGCTACATAAACAGCGAATGCATAATATTTTAATTTGAGCTAATTAGTTAATTTTATATGACCCATTGAAATTTGAATGGAGGCAAGATGGCTAATATTACTATAAATGACTTATTTTAGTATTATTTATTACTATTAGTATATTTCACTTTTCATTTTAGTTCGTTTTAGTAATTTTTATGTGCTTATATTTGGGTATTTAATGTTTTTATCTTCATATATTTATATTTTATGTGTTTATACATTTTTAGAACATTAAAATGTATATATAGCTTTAATGAATTTATTTCAGTTTTATTTTTAGTAATTTTAATACTTCAACTTAAACTTGCTTATGTCAACCTTAACTTCAATTAAAATGTATTTATATATATATATAAACATTATATAATTTATATTTATATTTGATCAAATATTATATCAAATATTTATATTTTATTTTATTTCAGCTTTATTTAAAAATATATTTTTAAAGGCATTTTGCGTTACACACTATCCAGAATTAAATCTACCAAATAATGTGACTGTGCTCAGTGTCACTCAAATGACACCGTTTATTGTGAATAATCCATTTATAATGAATATCATGATGAAAGTCAGCACAACTTCACTTCACATGGCCCAGCGCCCTCTAAAGGATGACTGTAACTAATCTGTTCCTGTTGCTTCAGACATTGACGAGTGTATCGTGAACGGCGTTATGTGCCGTAACGGACGCTGCGTGAACACGGATGGAAGTTTCCAGTGCATCTGTAATGCTGGCTTTGAAATCAGTCCTGACGGGAAGAACTGTGTCGGTAAGCGCTTCAACTGCAACTTTAACAAACTCTGAACCACCTAATATATATATATATATTTATTTTTTCCCCCCCATGTTTTTACACTCAGTATTTTTAAATATTCACACAAAATTAGATGCGTCACCTGTTTGATTGCTGATTATTTGATTATATACTATAAATCCTGCATTAAAGTGCTTAAAATGGTTTTAAATGTTTTGTAAATCTCTTTTGGAGTTTGGGGCGGGTGGAGGGTGTCAGAAGGTCAAAATAAACATTTTGAATTAATCATTTTGATGAATACAGTTAGTCCAAGAACAAAACTGAATATCCAGCATTTGTTTATAGTGTATTTTTTTTTAGAAACATTGAGAGTGTTTTCTTGTCCTCTAGATCATGATGAATGTGCCACCACCAACATGTGCCTCAACGGCATGTGCATAAATGAAGACGGAAGCTTCAAGTGTATCTGCAAACCTGGATTTGCGTTGGCGCCCAATGGACGCTACTGCACTGGTGAGCATTTCTGGGATTATTAAACCTAAAAACATCAAAATACTTGAGGGACAAAATAAAAGTGCCACAAAAATCGACTCTAAACACTATATTCCAAGTGTCTGAAGTCATGAAATAGTTTTTGGTGAGAAACAGATGCTAAATCACTAAAATCGAATTTCCACTTGTGCATTTTTTTTTAAGTTTGACGTCAAATCTGATTTCTTCAGACGTCTTTGGTTCTCACATCTGGTGACCATTTGTTATTTATTCATTATTCATTATTATTCATGTTGCTCGGTTTATTATATTTTCTTGAACATTTGAACACTTTCATAGTCTTGCAATAGTGTTGTGCATGAAACATACGCTAAACTGCTAAAATCAAATTTTCAATTGCGCATTTTTGCAAGTTTGACGTCAAATCTGATTTCTTCAGACGTCTTTGGTTCTCGCATCTGGTGACCATTTGTCAATTAATTCTTTTATGACCAAAATTTAAGTCGTTATTCTCTGAAAACTCTTCGGTCTCACTTGCATTTGCGTATATTTGCACATCATTGGCACATTTTCGGCATCAATCATAAAGTCACAAGAACCAATGATATTTGATGTCATTGACAATAAATAACAAACTAGCTAGAATGTCTTCGGTTGTCGCATTTGGTGACCGTTTGTTATTTTTTCATTATTCATTATGGATTTTACGATATTTTCGTCTTCGTTAAATTCTGACAGGCATCGATTAACATTTGAACATTTTCAGAGTTTTGCCATAGTTTTATGAATGAAATAAATGCTAAACTGCAAAATTATAATTTTCAATTGCACGTTTTTGCAAGTTTGACATCAAAACTGTCTTGAGGTGTCTTTAATTTTCATATCTGGTGTTCATTTGTCAATGAAGTCTTTAATGACCAAAGTCGTTATTCTCTGAACATTGTTCTTCAGTGCAGCTCTTCAAAATGGCTTTGCGTATAATTGCATGTCATTGGTGCATATTTGACGTCAACAGCGAACAGTCACAAGATGCAGGAATCGTTAAAATCTAATTTCCATTTTCTTTCTTAATTTTGATTACAGTTCTAATGCAACACATCTTGAGACGTCTTTGGTTCTGTCATTTATCAATGTCTTTAGTGACCAAAATTTAAGTTGTTATTCTCAGAAAATCATTCTCTCATTGGAACTTTTCAATCTCATTTGCGTATATTTGTATATCATTGGTACACGTTTGACATTAGTCTTTCATGTCAGTGACATAAAATGTCACAAACTGTCGCATCCTTTGACCGTCATTCACATCTTTATTCGTTTTTGACGTGTTATTCTCTAATGGCTTGCGCTATTTCCTTCTTCGTTTTGTTCTGACAGACATCGACGAATGCCAGACCTCAGGTATCTGTATGAACGGCCGCTGCGTGAACACCGAGGGCTCTTTCCGCTGCGAGTGCCCGCCAGGACTAGCCATAGACGTGGACGGCCGCGTCTGCGTGGACACCCACATGCGCACCACCTGCTACGGCGCAATAAAGATGGGCACGTGTTCGCGTCCATTCCCCGGGGCAGTGACGAAGTCGGAATGCTGCTGCGCCAACCCTGAACATGGCTTCGGAGAACCCTGCCAACCCTGCCCGGCATTCAACTCTGGTAAACCACGATATACCTTCCAGTCGCGAACGATACTTTAATATTAATGCAACATATGTTAGCTTTGATATGTGTGCCAGCAGGTGGCTAATGCCGTTTGTTTGTTCGCAGCCGAGTTTCAGGCGGTGTGCAGCAGTGGACCTGGAATCACCACAGACGGGCGAGGTAAGTCTGTTTTCGCTAATTTGCTAATCGTTTATGAATGCTAAATGCTAACGGACTAGATTCGGTTTCTTCGCAGACATCAACGAATGCGCTTTGGATCCAGACATCTGTCAAAATGGGATCTGCGAGAACTTGCGCGGGAGCTACCGTTGCATCTGCAACATCGGCTACGAGTCCGACACTAGCGGCAAGAATTGCGTGGGTAAGTTGCGTAAATTTTTTTATTACGTAACTTTTTATTAGGTAGCAAAACTTAGCTTCAACTATGTTTTAGGTAGAAAAGACTTCTTGTACAACATTGCTCTGAAACCTATGAGTAGTAGTTGTGTTTTAAAGAATTTTGTTAACTTTTTGCGTATCTTTCAGACATTAACGAATGTTTGGTGAATCGGTTACTGTGCGACAATGGCATGTGTAGAAACACGCCCGGAAGTTACACTTGCTCTTGCCCCAAAGGATTCTCCTTCAAAGCTGACTCTGAGACTTGCGAAGGTTGCTTTATGACAATTTTTTTTTTCGTTCGTTTATGTTTTTTCGTAAATTTCACATAAAATTATATACATTGTATCTTTCGTTCTTACCTGTCATTCTTTTGTTCAGACATCAACGAATGCGACTCCAACCCCTGCATCAATGGTGTGTGCCGCAACGTAGCCGGTTCCTTCAACTGTGAATGTTCCCACGGCAGCAAGTTGGACTCCACCAACACCATCTGCGTAGGTAAGTACGAAAAGTCATTTTAGGCTAACAGAAGTGTTTACATGGTAACAGCGAGATTGGTGGATCTCTTATGGATAGTTTAGTGGCTATTAAATGTGTTTTTTAAAACGTTTAAAATGCAACTGTTAAATACGCAACCAAACGCTACTTACATTTATGATGCAACATTAGCAATAGTGGTGTGCGTGTCAATGTTTATTTTGTTTTCAGAGGTAACTGAACAGCATTCTGTTACTTTTATTAATTTCTAGCCAGGCGGTTTTCATTCTTTGTCTGAAACCAAACGTTGTTTGATTGAAATTAATGGAGTATGAAGGCAATAGGTCACGCATTTGTGCTTTCAGCATGAATGCCCACTGTGATCCCATCCCGCTAGATATCAGAGTTTTTATATATCTGCAGAAATGCAATGACTCCGCAGGGGAGCCACTCCAAATGTCAGAATGTCCATTTGTCATTGTCATGCTTTTTTGGTTCTCTTTCATGTATTTGCTCCATGCAGACAGCATGAAAGGAACCTGCTGGCTAAACATCCAGGACGACCGCTGTGAGGTGAATATAAACGGGGCCACGCTGAAGTCCGAGTGCTGCTCTACGCTGGGGGCGGCCTGGGGAAGCCCATGTGAACGCTGCAAAATTGGTTAGTTCATATGCAAAAAGCAATGCTAAAAATGCAAAAAAAAAAAAAAGGGCTCGTTTGGTTTCATAGGTAATTGACTTTTAAATAATTATATTTCTTTATTGTAATTTCATTTATATTCAATAATAATTATATTTTTTGTGTATTTTATATAAGTTTTGCCAATTTGTTTACAATTTATATTAATTTAATTCATTTTTATTTCATTTAATAAAAGATTATTGCGAAACTTTTAGATAACAAATAATTATATTTATTTATTATTATTTGATTTATGTTTCAATAATTGTAGTTTTTTTTAGATATTGTATATTAATTGCTAATTTGTATTTATTTATATTAAATTAAATTTATATGTATTAAAAAGAGTGAAAGTTTTAATGTTTGGAAAAAAAAAATGTAAAGCCAAATTTAATTAAGCCAAAATGTAATGTATTAATGAAAAGCTTAACGAACCAATGAACCAATGTTTGCTTTAAAGACATAATCTTTAACACACAAAACAAAGTTTTTGACATGAATTTTCTACAGATCCAGCCTGTTCGAAAGGTTTCGCTCGCATGAAGGGACTTGTGTGTGAAGGTACGTGTTACCCACAATCCTTTGCTGCATTAACAATATTATCTATCTAGAGCTTTGTATGATGATGCATCCCATTTCTGCTCTGTCTTTAGATATTAATGAGTGCGAGGTATTTCCCGGCGTGTGCACAAACGGACGCTGTGTGAACACGCAGGGCTCGTTCCGATGCGAGTGTCCGGAGGGACTTACACTGGACGGAGCCGGACGAACATGTGTTGGTATGGAAACATATTCGTTTCTCAAATTATTTAGTTTAGTTGATTTATTGGTTGCAGACAGCATAATACATCAACATGAATATGTTTTTAAACCAAAAACAGAAACGGTCAACCTCTGATTTATGATGATTTAGGACAACTGATCCAAAACAAACCCGTTCTTTTTTTTGTAACTAACAACATGTGCCAACCAAACAGTGGTGATTTACAGTGGTCTGTGTGTCCTGTAGACATCCGAAGCGAGCAGTGCTATATGAAATGGGACGAGGACGAGTGCGTGGAGCCGTTACCGGGCCGGTATCGCGTGGATATGTGCTGCTGTACGGTGGGAGCGGCATGGGGTGTGGACTGTGAGGCCTGTCCCAAACCAAACACACCCGAATTCAAGACCATCTGCCCGCGGGGACCTGGAATTGCCAACCGAGGAGACATCTTGACGGGACGACCCTTCTACAAAGGTGCAGCGTCACAGCTGTCTGTCATTTATTCATAGGGATGAGCGGATATAGAAAATTTTAACCGATATGATACCGATAATTATGTTGTTTTGGCCGATAACCGATATTGGCCGATATTATACAACATTTGCATTTTTTTTTTAGAAAAATTGATCGGCTTCCAATATCTCACTAATACTGATACTTTTTAAAAATTGCCGATACTGGTATTATTGCTGACATTCATTTCAGTACTTTTGAAAACTGACAATTATATAATTTATATTATAATAATATATTAATAAAAATAGTTTCTCATATATTATATTAATAAAACAAGTTAAACATTCTATATGAAATGTATATATTATGTATATATATAACAATATACTGTATATTATAAAGACTAAGCCAAACTATCCCTACAAATAATAATAGAAATAATGTAACATGTTTTAAATATAAATAAAATTATAATAAGGAACATTCACATTTGTATCTTTTGTATTAAATTAAATACAAATTAAAATACAAATTGACAAATATATATATTGCAACATTTTTATAATAAATAAATATTATTTGTTACCTGATATTTTCACATTAATCTTTTTACAAATTTAAATAAAAACGATATAATAATTAATATAATATAATTAATATTAATATAAATTATATACAAACTGACAAAATGTATATAAAATATCCCAAAAATTACATAATTCTTTTTTACATTAAACTTTTTATGAAATTAAATAAAAATGAATGTAATATAATTTATACACAAATTGACAAAATATATGTGTGTATATATATATATATATATATATATATAAAATTATAATTATTATTTAAATATAAATACAATTCTAATAAAGAAATATAATGATTTATTTATCTAGCCAAGAAAAGAAACATTTTGGCATTTTATAATAATAATATTTATTTATTTATTTTCCTATTTTTGGTTTTCTGTGCATTTTTCTGCAATTTTGTCCCCAAAGTATTTCTTGGTTACAAAAACACTCAAACTCTTTAGGGATTTTTCTCTGTGTTGAATAATGAGGTTATGAGCCTGTGTTTCTCTGCAGATGTGAACGAATGTAAGGTCTTCAAAGGCCTGTGCACTCACGGGACGTGCCGAAACACCATCGGGAGCTTCAAATGCCGCTGCGAAAGCGGCTTCGCCCTCACCATGGAGGAGAGGAACTGCACAGGTCAAACATCAAATACTAAATCAAAGCCGACACGCTTTTCACTGCACTGCTCACTAGGGCTGCGACAATAAATCGATGCAGAATCGATTCGTGGATTGATTCTGAGATCTTCCGAATGCATCGTGATTCTCTCTGGAATCGATTCTGAGCTTAGCAAGTGTGTGTAAGGGGTGCTCTAATCGCAGTTTTATCCTGTTTCTCGTGTAAATTATAATAAGGAACATTCACATTTGTATCTTTTGTATTAAATTAAATACAAATTAAAATACAAATTGACAAATATATATATTGCAACATTTTTATAATAAATAAATATTATTTGTTACCTGATATTTTCACATTAATCTTTTTACAAATTTAAATAAAAACGATATAATAATTAATATAATATAATTAATATTAATATAAATTATATACAAACTGACAAAATGTATATAAAATATCCCAAAAATTACATAATTCTTTTTTACATTAAACTTTTTATGAAATTAAATAAAAATGAATGTAATATAATTTATACACAAATTGACAAAATATATGTGTGTATATATATATATATATATATATATATAAAATTATAATTATTATTTAAATATAAATACAATTCTAATAAAGAAATATAATGATTTATTTATCTAGCCAAGAAAAGAAACATTTTGGCATTTTATAATAATAATATTTATTTATTTATTTTCCTATTTTTGGTTTTCTGTGCATTTTTCTGCAATTTTGTCCCCAAAGTATTTCTTGGTTACAAAAACACTCAAACTCTTTAGGGATTTTTCTCTGTGTTGAATAATGAGGTTATGAGCCTGTGTTTCTCTGCAGATGTGAACGAATGTAAGGTCTTCAAAGGCCTGTGCACTCACGGGACGTGCCGAAACACCATCGGGAGCTTCAAATGCCGCTGCGAAAGCGGCTTCGCCCTCACCATGGAGGAGAGGAACTGCACAGGTCAAACATCAAATACTAAATCAAAGCCGACACGCTTTTCACTGCACTGCTCACTAGGGCTGCGACAATAAATCGATGCAGAATCGATTCGTGGATTGATTCTGAGATCTTCCGAATGCATCGTGATTCTCTCTGGAATCGATTCTGAGCGATTCAAGTGTGTGTAAGGATTTGGAAACAAGCAGAGTACGGCTGTTTCTAAAGTGTGCAGCGCCATCTACTGTTCAAAACTAAGCTCAGCATCGATTAAAAAAAGAATCATAATGCATTCGGAAAATCGATGCTGAATAATTTCTTGATTCGCGATGCATCGATTTATTTTCCCAGCCCTACCGCTCACGCTGTTCCCCTCGCTCCCGCAGATATCGACGAGTGCACCATCTCTCCGGACCTGTGCGGACACGGCGTCTGCGTCAACACGCCCGGCAGCTTCGAGTGCGAGTGCTTCGACGGCTATGAGAGCGGCTTCATGATGATGAAGAACTGCATGGGTGAGACTCGAACCCTGGACGTTTTTCCCGGCCTCTGAAAGCCTGTGTGTCACAGCGTCTCTCTCTCTCTGTCCCGCAGACATCGACGAGTGCGAGCGCGACCCCCTGCTGTGCCGCGGCGGGACGTGTCTGAACACCGAGGGCAGTTATGAGTGCGACTGTCCTCCGGGTCACCAGCTGATCGCAGAAGCTTCTGCCTGTGAAGGTACAGACCTGCTGTGCTTTACTCTAGTGGTGAAAACATTAGATAAACGAAATAATCTTGAGTATAATTGTGCATAATTTTTTATTAGAAAATTATTATATAATTAAAATAACTATTAATTTCATTTATAAAAAAACTTTTATCTCGCACGTTAATTATTATTATATTTTTTCCCTCCTCAGATGTGAACGAGTGTCAGCTGAGTGATAACCTGTGCAAGAACGGTCAGTGTGTGAATATGGTGGGCACCTATCAGTGCTCCTGCGACACGGGATACCAGGTGACGCCCGACAGACAGGGCTGCGTGGGTGAGAAACCTCCACCGACATCGACATGCATCAAACTAACGATCCAGATCAGTTCATCAACTATAAACGTGCCTCTTCTCATTTTCGCAGACATCGACGAGTGCACCATCATGAACGGCGGCTGCGATACTCACTGTACGAACTCGGAGGGAAGTTACGAATGCAGCTGCAGCGAAGGTTACGCGCTCATGCCCGACCTCAGGACCTGCGCCGGTAACACACACACACACACACACACACAAGAACGGTCAGTGTGTGAATATGGTGGGCACCTATCAGTGCTCCTGCGACACGGGATACCAGGTGACGCCCGACAGACAGGGCTGCGTGGGTGAGAAACCTCCACCGACATCGACATGCATCAAACTAACGATCCAGATCAGTTCATCAACTATAAACGTGCCTCTTCTCATTTTCGCAGACATCGACGAGTGCCCCACCATGAACGGCGGCTGCGATACTCACTGTACGAACTCGGAGGGAAGTTACGAATGCAGCTGCAGCGAAGGTTACGCGCTCATGCCCGACCTCAGGACCTGCGCCGGTAACACACACACACACACACACACACACTCACTAGAGCTGCACGATTAATCGTTAAAAGATCGCAATTTCGATTCAAACACCCATGCCATCTAATTTCTAAATGACAACGATTTGCCCATGTCTATTAATAATACTAATAATAATTAAAATAATACCACACAGTATTATTTCTGTCTAACAGTCATATTATCTCAGAAATACTGGAATGAAAGTTTATAGTTTGGATATAAAAATTTATGTCTATGGTAGCGATCAAAATAGAGCAAGTATCTTTCGAAAGTAATTTGCGCTTCAAATAACGTTGATTGCATCGTTTCGCCACTAGGTGGCGACAAGTGACTGTTAAAAAATCTATTTGTTATTGAATCATTCATTCAGGAGATTCATTCAAAAATGCTGATTCATCCAGTAATGAAACAAGTTAAGTATTTATGAGTGAGTCACTGAATCATTTATTCATAATACTTTTTCATCATTTAAACACTACAAATTGGTGTATTAAATATATTATATTTTAAATATATATATTAGGCCTATATGTTACTCTGGACCACAAAACCAGTCATAAGGGTCAATTTTTTTGAAATTGAGATTTATACATCATAAATAATCTTTCCATTGATGTATGGTTTGTTAGGATAGGACAATATTTGGCCGAGATCCAAAAATTTGAAAATCTGGAATCTGAGGGTGCAAAAAAAATTTAATATTCAGAAAATCACCTTTAAAGTTGTCCAAATTAAGTTCTTATCAATGCATATTACTAATCAAAAATTAAGTTTTGATATATTTACGGTAGGAAATTTACAAAATATCTTCATGGAACATGATCTTTTCTTAATATCCTAATGATTTTAGTTTAATAATTTTGACCCATAAATTGTATTGTTGGCTATTGCTACAAATATACCCATGCGACTTAAGACTGATTTTGTGCTCCAGGGTCACATATATTAAAACGTTTAATACGTCATTCAAATTCAACACTTTTAAACAGACTGCAGCAATTCATCTTTTGCCATTATTTAGTTTAGCTCAGAATCGTGGGAGAATCGTGATATCTATTGGAGATAAAAATCTTGATTCTCAGTTTATCCAGAATCGTGCAGCTCTAACACACACACACTTACACACACACACTGAGCCTCGTCTCTCCCCACAGACATCGACGAGTGTGAAGACACGCCGGACATCTGCGACGGCGGCCAGTGTACGAACATCCCCGGAGAATATCGCTGCCTCTGCTACGACGGCTTCATGGCCTCCATGGACATGCGCACCTGCATCGGTGAGACACGAAACTCCACTCATGTTTACATTTGTGTGTGTGTATATATATTACTTTTAAATAATAAGCATATTTAATATCATTTACTAATTTACAGTATCTTTGCTTTATTTCATGAATTAATTTTTTTAAATAGTTTTTTGTGTAATCTAAATAATAAAAATTAGTAAATTAATTCAGTCATCATCCTTAGTAACCTTGACTTATTTTTTTATTATTTTATGTTTGTGTAATTTAAATGAAAAAGTCATATTTACTTTTGATTCAATATTTTACATTCGTTTTAATACTTATTAACCTCGATTAATTTTCTTTTTATAAATTATATTAATTTGTTTGTTGCATTTTTATTTAAGTAATAAAAAGGCTTGAAAGGTATTTACATTATTTCATTTTATTGCTTAGTAGCCTTGATTTATTTAATGATTTTTAAATATTTTTTAAATGTACTTTTCGTTTACTGTTAATTAAATAATAAAAATAGTTATGCTTTACTTGGAATTCAAGTTTACATTATTACATTTTAAGGGATAAGTAACCTTGATTTACTTTATGAATTATTTTTATGAATTATGTTATTAGTTTTTTGTTTAACTTTTAAATAAAAAATAATAATTTACTTTTAATTAAATAATTAAATAACTTTAATGTGTAGTTAGCTTGATTTATTTTATAATTTATTTTTTTAATGAATCATTCAATTTTTGCCATTTTATTTTTTATTTGTATGCTTGTATCATTTCCCTTTTTATCTTTATTGTAATTTATTAACTAAGAATTTACTTTTAAGTTAATAATTTGAATGTGTAGTAACCTTAACTTTATTAATTATTTCATTAATTATATTTTACTTTTAAGTAAAAAATAATAATTTACCTTTTTATTTCATTCATTATTTTTTTACTTTTAAATAAAAAAATAATTAGCTTTTAATTAAATAATTTGAATGTTTAGTTACCTTGATTTATTGTATAATTTATGAATTATTCAAATGTTTGCCATTTTATTTTTTATTTGTATGTTTGTTACTTTTTTATCTTTTTTGTAATTTACGTAGTAATAATTTACTTTTAACTTAAGAATTTTGTCATTATTTAATTAGAATACGTAGTAACCTTGATTTATTTTATGAATTATTTTTATGAATTTTTCTTACTTGTTTAATTTTAAATAATAAATTAATGATTTAATTTTAGTTCAATATTTTTTATTTATTTAATGTTACCTTAATTGTATTCAAAGTAAGCTTGATTTTGATTTTATTTAATTTTCATATGAATTATTTTATTGCATTTATTTGTTTACTTCCAGTTTTTTTTTCTTTGTATATTTTTATTCTGATGTTTAGTCATGATAGTGTAATGCCTCTTTGATGTATTTATATGCTCGTATTATGTCCTAATTTGATCCGCCCTGTCTTGTATTCGGCCAGATGTCAACGAATGCGATCTGAATCCCAACATCTGTCTGCACGGCGACTGTGAAAACACTAAAGGGTCCTTCATCTGTCACTGTCAGCTGGGATACTTCGTCAAGAAGGGCTCCACCGGATGCACAGGTAACCCGGATTCCTCAAGAATCGAGTCCAACCTCAAACGAAAGACCAGCTGCTGTAAAGTGTTTGTTTTGCATCAGATATCGACGAGTGTGAGGTCGGTGCTCATAACTGCGACATGCACGCCTCCTGCGTCAACGTCCCGGGGAGCTTCAAGTGCCGCTGCCGCGACGGCTGGGAGGGCGACGGGATCAAATGCGTCGGTGAGTGACGAGTGCTGATGATCGGCAGGTTAATGTTAGTGTCCTGGATGTGGTTTGAGGCTGTGTTTGCGTCGCTGCAGATGTGGACGAGTGCGTGACGGAGGAACACAACTGTAACCCGAACGCCGAGTGCATGAACACGCCGGGATCGTACCGTTGCGCCTGTAAGGAGGGATTCAACGGCGACGGATTCTCCTGCTCCGGTATCACGCAACACACGCTTCTCATTTCATGTTTAATAGCCTTTGTTTTATGAAGTTATTGTATTTGTTTGTTTGTGTAATTCACTTTTCATTTGAACTTTAAATTAAATAATAAAAATAATCTTTACTTATAAAGTAACCTGAACGTAAACGAAACTGAACAAAATTTTACGTTAATTTAATTGTTCAGAAATCTATTTCATCTTATTATTTGTGTTTGTGTAATTTATTTTTTTAACTTTAAATGAAATAATTAAAAATAATCTTTACTTAAACCTATAAGTAATCTTTTACTTTTATAAGTAATCTTTTATCTTTTACTTTTAATTACTTTCTATTTTTCTATTTTGTTAATTTTCCATATTTTCTTTGTAATATATATATATATATGTATATATATATATATATATTAGTGCTGTCAAATGATTAATCGCAACGAAAATAAAAGTTATTGTTTATATAATATGTGTGTGTGTGCTGTGTATATTTATTATGTATATATAAAGACAAACACATACAGCATATATTTGGAAAATATTTACATGTATTTGCATGCATATATTTATGTTCATATAAATTATATCATATATAAATATATTTAATATAAACATAAAATATTTTTCTATATACATGCTCAATATATGTGTGTGTGTACTGTGTATATTTATTATGTATATATAAAGACACACACATACAGCATATATTTTGAAATTATTTACATGTATAATAAATTATATCATATATAAATATTTAAAATATATAAACGTAACATATCTTTCTTAAATATGTACATGCATGTGTGTGTATTTATATAAAAACCTAAAACTTTTATTTTGGATGCGATTAATCGTTTGACAGCACTAAGCTACAGTCTCTGGTCCTAAGTTTGTTTGTACAGAATCTTTTTCTGCTGTAAAACTTGACATAAATGGCAGGATTGTTGGTGGTTTGCGTATTTGTCTGCAGACATGGACGAGTGCGCTGATAACGTGAATCTGTGTGAGAACGGTCAGTGTCTGAACGCGCCGGGCGGATATCGCTGCGAGTGTGAGATGGGCTTCACCCCGACTGAAGACAGCAAGGCCTGCCAGGGTAAACACACAAACACACACACACAGTGACACACACACACACACACACACACACACTTACAGTAACACACACTCACTCGATCTGCTGTGTGTGTCTTGTCCGGCAGACATCGACGAGTGTAACTTCCAGAACATCTGCGTGTTTGGATCGTGTCAGAACCTGCCGGGAATGTTTCGCTGCATCTGCGACTACGGCTACGAGCTGGACCGCAGCGGAGGAAACTGCACAGGTGAGACACTCACACACACACACACACTCACACACACACACACACACACACACACACACTCACACTCACACACACACACACACACACACACACACACACACACACACACTCTCACACTCACACACACACACACGAATCACGGCATCATGGAGAGATCTTAAGACTGTGTTCATTTCAGCAAATGTCGACAAAAGAGGCACTAAATGTGAGCGTAGCCTTGTATTTTTGTAAATTATTTTATTATTTTTGTAGTTTACTTTCAAATAATAAATAATTAAAGTTTAATTAAATCCTTTTATATTCAAAATGTATTTTATAATTATTTATAATATTTATTTTAATTTAAATGAAAAACTATTTAATCAAATACATATTTTTCCTTAATTTATTTTATAAAAGTTTATTTGTGTGTAATTTACTTTTAATTTAAATTATTGTTTGTAGTTAAATCGTTTTAGATTAATATTTTAATGAAATCTATTACATTTATATCAAGTTAGATTCATTGTCTTAATTCATTTTAAATTAAATTTTGTTGTTTTGTTGACTTGTTTGATAACACTGATTTATTTAATTAACATTATTTGTTGATGTGATTTACTATTTATTGACGTAATAATAATAATAATATTAATAATATACTCTTTTGATTAAATAATTGTATATTCATATTTAAATTACTTATGTGTAATACATTTATTTGTCTGTGTATTTTTAGTTTTGGTGAAATAATAAAAATAAAGTATAGAACTTTTAATAAATTTTACATTATTTTGTATTTTAATAAAGACATGCAAATATATACATTTCAGCAAACATCAACAAAAGAGCCTCATTTTTGAGCATCGTGGACTTAAATCGCTTTTTTCTCAAATTTATTTGATTTAATTTTACTTTAAATAAAATAATGAAATGCAATACATTTTAATGAATACATTTTACATTTAATTTTAATGTTTAGTAACTATTTTAATTAACCATTTTATTTGTGTAATTATAGTTTAAATAAAATAATGAAATAATTGTCTTACATTTATATCAATATTTTAATTTATATTTCAATTTATAATAATATTGTGAAATAAATTTTTTATTTAATAATTTAATTTAATATTTGCACATTTATGGAATTTCAATGTTTAGCAACTTGTTAATTTTATGTTTTTTTTGTAATTAATTTAGTTGCGTAATTTACTTTTAATAAAGTACTAAACCGAATGAAGTATTTAACCTATATTTAATGCAATTTTACAATATTTTGAATAATTTTAATGAAGACATGCAGATGTATTAATCTCATCAGGACCGTGTGTCATTTCTCACTTTTGTCTCTCATCCGTCTCTCTTTGGCAGACATTAACGAGTGTTTCGACCCTGTGAACTGCATCAACGGCGTGTGCGTGAATCTGCCCGGCAGCTACCTGTGCAACTGTCCGCCGGACTTCGAGCTCAACCCGTCGGGCGTGGGCTGCGTCGGTACGGAGCCGTCCCGCTTCAGTCTGCCACATTCATCGCCATCACTGTAAACGTAACGCGGCTTGTCTCTGTTCTCTGTCAGACACTCGAGTGGGGAACTGCTTCCTGGACACGCTGGACCGCGGCGACGGAGGAATCTCCTGCAGCGCTGAGATCGGGGTGGGCGTGACACGCGCCTCCTGCTGCTGCTCGCTGGGCGGAGCCTGGGGAAACCCCTGCGAACTCTGCCCGCCCATCAACTCCTGTACGAACAACACTACCTCAATACTGACCTCTAGCAGTCCAAACATATCGCTTTTCTCAGTGGCCATATATATCGGCTTTTTTAAAAATGTATCCTTATGACTGGTTTTGTGGTCCATGGTCATTAACTTCAGTTTCACTTAAGCATATTTAAAAATAAGCAGCAGTGATCATTTGGATCATTTTCAAAATATTGATACAGAGCTATATCAATATTTACAGAGCTATATGTATAAAATTAATTATAAAATAAATGCATTATTATTATTTTTTATTCCCACTTATTTGAGTCTTATTTTAGATTCTTGTAGAGTGTAACAAAAATACAAGTAAGAGACCAATATATCTGTAAATATTTAGCTATTTTCCCATCAGCCGATACATTTTCAAGAATATATACAATTATTATTATTATTTTTATTCCCACTTATTTGAGTCTTATTTTAGTTTCTTTTAATGTGTAACAAAAATACAAGCAAGAGACCGATATATCAGTAAATATTTAGCTATTTTCCCATCAGCTGATAAATTATTAAGAATGTATACAATTATTATTATTTTTATTCCCACTTATTTGAGTCTTATTTTAGATTCTTGTAGAGTGTAACAAAAATACAAGTAAGAGACCAATATATCTGTAAATATTTAGCTATTTTCCCATCAGCCGATACATTTTCAAGAATATATACAATTATTATTATTATTTTTATTCCCACTTATTTGAGTCTTATTTTAGTTTCTTTTAATGTGTAACAAAAATACAAGCAAGAGACCGATATATCAGTAAATATTTAGCTATTTTCCCATCAGCTGATAAATTATTAAGAATGTATACAATTATTATTATTTTTATTCCCACTTATTTGAGTCTTATTTTAGATTCTTGTAGAGTGTAACAAAAATACAAGCAAAAGACCGATATATCGGTAAATATTTAGCTATTTTCCCATCAGCCGATACATTTTCAAGAATATATACAATTATTATTATTATTTTTATTCCCACTTATTTGAGTCTTATTTTAGTTTCTTTTAATGTGTAACAAAAATACAAGCAAGAGACCGATATATCAGTAAATATTTAGCTATTTTCCCATCAGCTGATAAATTATTAAGAATGTATACAATTATTATTATTTTTATTCCCACTTATTTGAGTCTTATTTTAGATTCTTGTAGAGTGTAACAAAAATACAAGCAACAGACCGATATATCGGTAAATATTTAGCTATTTTCCAATCAGCCCATACATTTTCAATAATATATACAATTATTATTATTATTTTTATTCCCACTTATTTCAGTCTTATTTTAGTTTCTTGTAGAGTGTAACAAAAATACAAGCAACAGACCGATATATCGGTAAATATTTAGCTATTTTCCCATCAGCCGATACATTTTCAGTAATATATACAATTATTATTATTATTATTTTTATTCCCACTTATTTCAGTCTTATTTTAGTTTCTTGTAGAGTGTAACAAAAATACAAGCAAGAGACTGATATATTGGTAAATATTTAGCTATTTTCCCATCAGCCGATACATTTTCAGTAATATATACAATTATTATTATTATTTTTATTCCCACTTATTTCAGTCTTATTTTAGTTTCTTGGAAAGTAACAAAATACAAGTAAGAGACCGATATATCGGTAAATATTTAGCTATTTTCCCATCAGCCGATACATTTTTAAGAATATATACAATTATTATTATTATTTGTATTCCCACTTATTTCAGTCTTAGTTTCTTGTAAAGTGTAACAAAAATACCAGCAAGAGACTGATATATCGGTAAATATTTAGCTATTTTCCCATCAGCCGATTTCTTTTTAAGAATATATACAATTATTATTATTATTTTTATTCCCACTTATTTCAGTCTTAGTTTCTTGTAAAGTGTAACAAAAATACCAGATATATCGGTAAATATTTAGCTATTTTCCCATCAGCCGATTTCTGTGCTGTAGTAAAACTAAAACCTAAAGCTTGAATTCCCACAATTTTTGTCTCATTTACTGTCATTTAATAGTAATTTGTACATATATATCATCATTATAACAGCTGTCGCTCACTCTGCTCCCTAAATATCGCTACAAGCATCAGCCAAATAAAAAGTCGAAAACACCACAGACTGATTGTATTCATGATGAACTGTGTGTCTCCTCACAGCCGAGTACAAAACACTGTGTCCCGGAGGAGAGGGTTTCCGGCCCAATCCCATCACCGTCATCCTGGAGGGTAAGAGCAGCTCAACAGCGCAACACCTGTGGTCTGTGAGTCTAACGACGCCTACATTAATAATCTCTCTGTCCCGCTCTCAGACATCGACGAGTGCCAGGAGCTGCCCGGTCTGTGTCAGGGGGGAAACTGCGTCAACACCTTCGGCAGCTTCCAGTGCGAGTGTCCCGCCGGATACTACCTCAACGAGGAGACACGCATCTGCGAAGGTCCGGCCGACAGCAGCCACAGAGCTCAGAGAGATTTTCTTTTTAGTCATTTTATTCAGCAATTTAAATTTAGTAATTTAATTACATTTTTAGTCATTTAATTATTTGATTAATTGTTATTTATGCATTAATGTATTTGTTTTATTCACTTTTAATTAAATATAACATTGATATATTAATATAACAATAATTAACATTTGATTAAACAATTTAATATTCATATTAAATATATAATGAATTTCAATAATTAATTAATTTTTTATCCAATTTACATTTATTGAATTTTAATGTTAAGTAACCTTGATATATTTGTTTTTTTTAATTAAATATTTTATTTTTGTAATTTAAATTAAATAATTAACTTTTAATTAAATATATCTTTAAATTCAATTAAAAAATATACAAAAAAATCTGTCAATATTCTTATAATTAAATTAATTTAATTTAATTAAATGTACATTTATTTTTATTAATTATTTTAATAATTCATAATTGTGTGATTTGAATTAAATAAAATAACTTAATTTTATAATAAATGTATGAGTATTTTAATTTGAAATTTACTTTTAAGTGAGTAACAATAATTACATTTGAATTAATTTCAATTAAATGTTTAAACTGAAGTTAAATATTAATATTTTAAAGAATTAAATGAACTTTTAATTACATTTATTGAATTTAATTTTTTAGTAACCTAATTTATTTTTAATAATGTATTTATATGAGCAATTTATATTAATATTTCAATAATTTCATTTACTTTTACAAATCTTATTTTAAGTATTTTTTATTAAAGTAGTTTTATATTAAATGTATATTATTTAATATGTTTATAATTTTGAATTATTTAATAATTAAACATTTTAACGTTTAGTAACTTTTATTTAAATGCATTACTTTTATTTAACTTTATTATACTTTAAAAAACTTTATTATAATGTTTATGAATGTATTTTTATGAATTTGTGCAATTTACTTTTAATGAAATTATTAACACTGTATAAATGATCTTGAATTAATTTTACGGTATTTAATTTGTATAATTGTAATAAAGACATGCAAATTTCTGCAAACATCTATAAAAGGAGCAACGAGACAGAAAGAGTTGGAGTCGATCGAGTGTCTGAATGCTGATATATTTTCTGATGGATTCTCTCAGATATTGATGAATGTACGGCGCACATCGGCATCTGCGGTCCGGGAACCTGCTACAACACGCTGGGAAACTACACCTGCGTCTGTCCGCCCGAGTACATGCAGGTGAACGGAGGAAACAACTGCATGGGTAAGAGCCGCTCGGCGAGCGTTTAGGACTGAATCACAGCTTCCTGAGCTCATCCGTGTTTGTTTCACAGATATGAGAAAGAGCGTGTGCTACCGCAACTTCAACGACACCTGCGAGAACGAGCTCTCCTTCAACATGACCAAGAAGATGTGCTGCTGCGCCTATAATGTGGGCAAAGCCTGGAACAGACCCTGCGAGGCCTGTCCCACACCAGCCACGTGTGAGTGTGGGAGAACCATGTCTAAATACATAATGAAAGTCAAAATATTGGAGGAGAAATCGCTGAGAAAATACACAGACATTACTATGCATTGCATTGCACAAAATAAAATGTAAAAAAGAAATGATATAAAACAAAATGCATTGCATAAAATAAAAAAATACATATAGAAAATAACTAATATAAATATAAATCATTTAATTTAGTTGGGCCTTGGTTTCTGATGGTGTGGTATTCAAATTTACACTTCATTTGCATTGCTTAGCTTTGAATAAAATTTAATAAATATTAAATGAAATGTGTTGTGCCGCATAAAATTAAAAATATAAATAAATATATCTCATAGTTTCTGAGGGTGTGGCATTCAGATTTAGGCAAATTTTCCATTGCATAAAATAAAATAGTATAAAATAAAATGCATAAAATAAAAAATAAATATAGAAATATAAATAATTTAGGCAGTCATTAGGTGGGACTTGGTTACTGAAGGTGTGGCATTACATTTCAGGCAATTTTTTCATTGCTTACCTTTGCATAAATTACAATTAAATAGTGTAAATTAAAAATTAGTAAATGTAAAATTATTATTAAGCAGTGTAATTATTTTAAGTGGGTCTTGGTTTCTGAAGGTGTGCATTAAAATTCAGGCTACTTTTGAAATAAATTCAATTAAAATGTAAAGATTTTTAAGCAGTGAAAATATTTTAGGTGGGTCTTGGTTTCTTGGTTTCTGCTATTTTTTAATTAAATTAAATGAGGCCTTGGTGTGGCATTCAAATTCAGGCTCCATTTGCATGGAATAAAAAAAAAATAAAGTAAAATAAAAAAAAATAGGAAATAAATATATAAATAAAATAATTTGAAGGTGTGCATTAAAATTCAGGCTACTTTTGAATTAAATTAAATGTTTCATTCAATTAAATTGTAAGATTATTTTTAAGCAGTGAAATTATTTTAGGTGGGTCTTGGTTTCTGAAGGTGTGGCATTAAAATTGAGGCTACTTTTTAAAAAATTAAAAAAAATAGGAAATTAATATATAAATAAAATAATTTGGGTCTTTGTTTCTGAGGGTGTGGCATTCAAAGTCACAAGTCAAAATACAATAGAATAAAATGCATTGCACAGCACTGCATAAAATAAAAAAACTGTATAAAATAAATATACAAATATTAACCATTTAAGCAATCATTCAACTTAATACTGTGTATAGACTGTAGAACATTTATACACAATACAATAGTGGATTTAACATCAAAATTTTAAGTCTAACCTTAAAATGCATGTTTTTTTATGTACCCTTCTCACTTTAAATACTTTGGTGAGTTAATAAGAATATTGGTAACACTTTAGTGTCCAATTCTCACTATTAACTAGTTGGGTATTAGCATGAATATTACTGGGATATTGGCTGTTTATTATTACTTAAAAAAACACACATATTAATGTCTTGTTCTGCAAGACCTTATTCTAAATCCTTAATCTACCCAATTCCTTCTTAAACTTAACAACTACTTTAATAAGTATTAATAAGCAGTAATTAGGAGTATATTGAGGCAAAAGTCATAGCTACTAGTGATAATTGGGCTCTAATCTAAAGTGTGACCAGAATAATTTATGTAGTTATCTTTTTATTTATTTGAATGAAATTAAAAGAACCATTTCATGTCTATCCTTGTATCATTAACTTGTCGAGGTTGATATAGGATTTAGAAAGTAATTCGTAATAATAAGTAATGAAATACTTTTTGGAGAGAGTTATAATTACAGTAATATAATTACACTGTTGAAGATGTAATTAATTACTTTTTTGTAACTTACCCAACACTTACTTGGCCACAACTTCAAAAACCAACCCATCTAATGACTGCTTAAATTATATACATATATATATATATTTTTTTTTCTTATATATATATATATATTTATTTTTTTTTTTTTTTTTTTTTATGCAAATGGGGTTTGAATGACACACCTTCAAAAACTAACCCACCTAATGACAGCTTAATTTTTTTAATGTTACATAATTTTTTTATTTAATGACTGCTTATTTGATTTTTAGTTTTATTTGATTTTATTATTTGATTTTATTACTAATTCACTACTTTTTAAAATCTTTTTAAGCATTCAGAAGCATTTAATCTGCATTATATGTTCTGTAAAAAACAATGTTCATATCGGCAGCATATTCACCGATACCGATATATCTGCGACATGCTCATATCGGCCGATAATATCGGCAAAACGATATATCGGTAGGGCTCTAATGATTACGTGATATTTTTATCAGTTTGAAACTTTACAATTTTAACATTTATTTTAAACTTTTTAGATTGTGATTTTAACCATTTCAACTTTAAATACAGGATTAACTACTTAATATGGTAAAGAAGTTTGCATATTATAGCATGGGAAAGACTTGCATATAGCAGGAAAGACTTCAATGTTTCCTTTATTTAAAATGAAACTGAAACAGGATGTTAACTTTACAATTTAATTTTTTTATCGTAATATTTTAAACGTTTTATATTGCGACTTCAACCATTTAAACACATACATAATTAACGATTTAATACTGTACAGAAATTTGTCTTTAATTGTTTTGTTTTTTTGTGTGTGTGTTGTACATTTTTACAGATAATTATAAGCAATAATAACATTTTTAAATAAAATATTATGCTAAATATATGAGCTAAAATGTGCATGCAAAGATAATGTACTCATTTTGTAATCATATTTTGGACGTTTTATGAACATTGTAGTTAAAATGTCACAGAAATTCAATATACCGACCATCATTTGTTACTGATTCTATGGGTGTTAATGTCAAACTATGTGTACACGTGTGATATCCTAATGACAGCGGAGGTGGTTTCTGATGAGGAATGCCTGTGTGTTCAGATATCGACGAGTGCAGCGTTCACGCCAGTCAGGTGTGCAGGAACGGCCAGTGCATCAACAGCATGGGCTCCTTCAGGTGTCTGTGTCTGGACGGATATAACCTGACGCCGGATGGCAAGAACTGCGTCGGTGAGCCTCTTACTGTACAGATCATCAACAGAGACCCCTGACACCTCTCTAACATCCATACCATTGATCCCCAGGGAAAACTCTGGGATTTCTGCCCTTTAATTTCAGAAACGCATCTCGTGTGTGTTTGTAACCCGTAGACCAAATAAGCCAAATAACCTTGCTTTTGTAATATAAAATACAGTTTGACAAAATAAGCGTGAGCACACTCCTTATTTCTAAATAATTAAATCCCACGTTTTGTTAACAATTTAAATATTTACATTTACAAATACATTTTATATATTAATCATAATTTGTGTTTTGCGATTTAGAAATAGCGTTTTATTAGTTGAAGGTGAATAATATTAATAAATAAATTCTAGATGTTCATAAACATGCATTTGTTTACATAAAGTAGGGTGTTTTATTAGTTTTACTCACATCAGATATTTATAAATACGATGCACACATATTTTAAATCTATTTTATTATGTGTCTCATATTACTAATTTTTTTATGTATTTTATATATTACATTGCCATTAATAAATATTATTTCATCTAAATAAAGTGGGCATTTTAGTAGTTTTACCTAGTGTAAATTTATAAATAAAATATGTAATTAATTTCTTTAAATATTGGTATTTTACAATTGAATTAGATGAAATATGGTGATTCATTAATTGTATTTAGCAAAAATTTGTTTTACATAAAAATATTTATAAATAAGATGTATACATATTTGATTTATTATTTATATTACTAATATTTCATAAATTTGATATAATATTTTGCATTAATAAGTATTTTTTTTAGATAATGTAGGGTGTTTTATTAGTTGTGCCTAGTGTACATTTATAAATAAAAATAGATATTTATAAATTGCTTTATAAATATTAACTTTAAATATTGATATTTTGCAATTGAATTAGATGACAGGGTGTTTTTATTAGTCATATTTAGGACGAAGTTGTGTTTAACATTAAAATATTTAGAAATAAAATGTAATATCTATTATATTTCTTATAGATTTTATATTCAAAGTATTTCACATTTTTTTATATTTTATATAATGTACAAGTATAACACATATATCTATATATACAGTGGGTACGGAAAGTATTCAGACCCTCTTAAATTGTTCACTCTTTGTTATATTGCAGCCATTTGCTAAAATCATTTAAGTTAATTTTTTGTTATATATTATATAATTTATATACATATTTAACCACTATTTTTAGATACATTTGTGTTCCAAACACTGCTTAGAATTTTTTTTTTTTTTTGTATAATTAAAAACACATCACCCTGTTATCAAAGCTGCTGTTTTTAGTCATTTGAAGACTTTTTCAGACTGCTATCTTTGCTGTAGTTTAGTTGCTCTGGTCATCGTGTATTGTGTTGTGCAGGACTGTAATTAATTAAGCCTGTCACGATAACAACTTTTTGTTGTGCGATATATTGCCCCATTAAAAAAATTGCAATGAGCCTTTTTTATTGTCATTTTAACACCATTTTATGACAGATTTTTCCCTGACCTCATTTTCTCTGTAAATGAAGGGTGCACACTATTGCTGAAGAACACAATCACTACTCAGCAGTCAGATGTCCGTATGCACAAAGACACAGATCCCTAAACAAGGCCATATCTGCAGATGAAACTTTGTTTGTAAAGCATTTTTAAAAATTTGAACTAGCACCAACTACACCACGTTATGTACGAGAAGCTGCGAAAGACACAGGCGCAAGTGGAATGTTCAAAACATTTTTTTATAGTGTTTTGTAAATAGCATGCAAATGTAATATAATGTATGTAAATATAATGGGCGATATATAGCGTCACCAAAAATGACTGAGGTCATGTACATATATTGTGCGATAAGTTGATGTATTGATTATTGCGACAGGCCTAACTGTAATGTAATGATGTGAGTGTTTGTGTGGTGTCAGATATTAACGAGTGCGTGACGCTGCCGGGCGCCTGTCAGCCGGGGACCTGTCAGAATCTGGATGGCTCGTTCCGCTGCATCTGTCCGCCCGGATACGAGGTGCAGAACGACAAGTGTGTGGGTAAGAGCTTCACAGTCACACACACACACACACACACACACCTGTGAGCCGCGCTGACCCGTCCTGTCCTGCACAGATATCAACGAGTGCACCGTGGAGCCCAACATCTGTCAGTTCGGCACGTGTAAAAACACGCCGGGCAGCTTCCAGTGCCTCTGTCAGCCCGGGTTCGTGCTGTCCGACAACGGCCGCCGCTGCTTCGGTGAGAAACACATTTCATCATATAAATCGGCTTTCATAATCAATTAAAGCAATAAGCCCCGTGAAGCTGTGGCTTACAGTGAATTTATAAATGGAATATAAATGTTCATAGTTATTCATGTGTTTAAATATTGATATTTTGCAATTGTGGAATTGTTTTTTTACGCACATGATTTTATCAAATTAAAAAACGTTTCATTTTGATCATTTAAATTCAACAAACCATTTAATAATTTAATAAAATCTGTTTCATATTGTGAATAAATCACTCTAAACTAGTGCTGTCAGAATTTGATTAATCGCATCCAAAATACAATTTTTGTTTACATAATATATGTGTGTGTGCTGTGTTTATTTATTATGTATATATAAATACACACACATGCATGTATATATTTCAGAAAAATATGTTATGTTTATATATTAAATATATTTATATATAATATAATAACAATTAAAGCAATAAGCCCCGTGAAGCTGTGGTTTACAGTGAATTTATAAATGGAATATAAATGTTCATAGTTATTCATGTGTTTAAATATTGATATTTTGCAATTGTGGAATTGTTTTTTTACGTACATGATTTAATAAAATTAAAAAACGTTTCATTTTGATCATTTAAATTCAACAAACCATTTAATAATTTAATAAAATCTGTTTCATATTGTGAATAAATCACTCTAAACTAGTGCTGTCAGAATTCGATTAATCGCATCCAAAATACAAGTTTTTGTTTACATAATATATGTGTGTGTGCTGTGTTTATTTATTATGTACTATCGGCATGAAGTCTGGTCCACTTTGCAGCTTATTATTGTGGAGAACTGTCGCCGATTTAGACACAAACAGATTGTTTGACCAATGTGATATAAATAATATATTTAAGAAAAGTGTTATATTTATATATAAAATATGTATTTATAATATAAATTATATATACATATTTTTTTAAATATATAAATGCATGTGTGTGTCTTTATATGTACATAATATATATACACAGCACACACACATATATTATGTAAACAAAAACTTGTATTTT